CCTTTTGGCTAAAATTATCAAGTTTAAAAAAAAAATTTCCTTGAAATCAAATCATCATTCAAGAGATGTACTTTTCACTTTTTGGTCAAGTTATTAAACACACAAACAAGGTTAATGGATTTTTTTTGTTGCTGATAATATCATCTATATGCAACAGAAAGGCAGATATTTGTGAAATAAATGCATATATATAGATTTGTAGTTCATTCATTCATTATCAATGGCAATGAAAAATTTATTTATCCAATTCATTTTCTGAGAATTGTTATTCATATGATGATGATTGCATTTTCAATTTTATATATTTGATGGTAATTGATCCTTGAGCATTTTATTTGATAAAATGATGTCGAATGAAACAGATGTATGTTGCGAATTCAAAAAACCAATTTCGTTGTGTTGGAAAAATTTACGTTATGAAGTTGATGAATGGTTTATGGTCGATGGTTGGCAACCACGACGACGGCGAAAAGTGATCCTCAATCGTCTTAATGGATCAGTACGGATAAACAGTTTGAATGCATTGCTTGGACCATCCGGTGCCGGTAAAACTTCGCTCATAAATTGTCTCATTGGAAATGTTCCAGCCAAGAACATTTCACCCGACACTGAAATTTATATTAACAATGAAATAATCACAAAGTCATCGAATTCATTGGTCAGTTTTGTGCCACAATTCGTTCATGAAATAATCCTAGGACGGTTCACAGTGCTCGAGACTTTGTATTATGCATTCTGCTTCAAGAATCCTGCTCACTATCATGGCAGAGCATATGAACACATCCAGTCAACGATCCAGGAATTGATGCTAAATCCAAAAGTGTTGCAAACACGTTTCGAAAATTGCTCTGGTGGCGAACAACGTCGAGTGGCCATCGCTCAAGAGCTGATGTCAATCGAATCGAAACCACCGTTTTTGTTTGTTGATGAACCGACCACCGGCCTGGACAGTGAGTCAGCATTGGTGGTAATGAAGTGTCTACAACGATTGTCCACACAGAATGGCATCACAGTCCTCGTGTCAATTCATGCTCCCAGTTCGGATATATTGGATATGTTCGATCAATTGTACATCATAGCCAAAGGAGGTGTTTGCATTTATTCTGATCAACCGGGTGGATTACGGTCACATCTGAATCAAATCACTGGAATCGCATTGAATGAGGATGATTCTCCGATCCAGGAATATCTTCGTATCGCTAGCAATGGTATCAATGATGAACAAGTAAGAAAATTAACACAAGAAAGTGTGCAACAAGACCATCAACGACTTACAGCTCAATTCAGTAAATTTGAAAAAGAAGAATGTCCATTTGCTTTTATTCCAAAGGGCATTCCTCATTATTCACGAAAATTTCGTAGTTCGGATCTTTGGACACAATTCTGGCGTCTATTACGTTTGACATTCATAGCAGATGTTCGACATATAATTGGTATTTTGATTTTAATCATAATAACTCTTACTACTTATACATCAATCACCAATAAAGATATGGTGATACCACGAGGATGTATGCCATTCAATATTGAACATTTGAATCAAACCTGTCAGAATAAATTGAAAGAAGATCGATTAATCGGAACATTTATTATGTTACTTTTTTTAATTATGGTACTTACAATTTCACTCGGTATATCAATGTATTCGTTGATGACAGTGAATTTTATGAAAATTCTTCGCCACGAATATCGTACTGGTAAGACTCGTAGCATTAAACACAGTATATATCTAATTTATATATTTTTTTCATTTACAGGTTGGTACAGTTTTTCATCATTAATCCATCCTGTTCATGTGAATGACTTGATCACAATGATATTACTCACTATTATAAGCATTGTGACTTATTACATGACTAGTGACATTCTCTATATTGATGAATATCAAATGAATTGGCATCGTTTGAGTACTCTATATTTATTCAGCATAGTAGCATTCTTGTATGGCCAATCATTCGCTTATTTATTGACCAGTATTTGTATTGATCAATTTGAATTACTTCTCATTCTATGTCAAGTAGTGGTAGTTATATTGGGTACAACTAATGGATTAACAGTAATGATTGATTTAATGGACAAACCATTTTATCGAACAATATCACATTTACTTGGTGCTCGATATATTACCGATGGATATCTCTATGCACACTATGGTATTGATCGTTGCGATCCACAAACAGAATATTCACAAATAATAAAACAATTTTCCATCGACACAGACAATATCTATTCAAACATGAAAAATGATGATTAGTAATAATAGTGGTTCGAATCATTTCTATCATTGTGATGCGTTGGACATTTAGCAATGTGAACAATGGAAAAATCTTATCAGCAACAAAGCAAGAAACATTGACAAAAATCCTAACTCCTGCCATTGAAATCAATTTTCATGAAAAGGCTACGTTTGTCCAGATTTTGATGGTAATAATAATAACAATATTGAACCTCAAATGGCCAAAAATGAATTTCAACAATTTTGTACTGGCCGTTACATAATTGGATGGCGTCAATTGACATTGTTTGCGACTGATACCATCTATGAAGTGCGTTCTACACCTGGACCGTTAGATGATTTTGGAGACAAGTTAATATTACGGAATCTCAGTGGACAATTTCAGTTTGGAACATTGAATGCAATCATGGGCAGCTCCGGTTCGGGCAAAACGTCACTGTTGAAAGTTTTCAATGGAAAATGAAAACCAAACTGACCGGTTCGACTCAATTCTACCTCAGTCGATTCGTACCGATTCGGACTTGCTTTATCAAACAAGAAGTATCCAAACACTTGATACCCGGATTGACGAGCAAACAAAGTTTGATCTATGCTTCTAAATTAAAGAATTGTCACGAAACACAAACAATTGATCATGAACAAGTGGCTGACAATTTGCTCAATGAATTAGACATGACCAACACGGGCAACACTTTGGTGCAAAATTGTTCCGGTGGAGAAAGGAAACGACTGGCTCTGGCAATGGAATTGACATCCGTTCGAATGCCCAATCTCATTTGCATTGATGAACCTGTCAGTGGTTTGGATTCCAATTCGGCACGGTTGGTCCTTCGATGTCTTCGACAATTCATTGCTCGTCATCCAGATATCACTATGGTGGTCAGCATTCATCAACCTAGTACCGAACAATTGGACATGTTTGACCTATGCTATGTGCTAGCATTCGATGGCCTTGGTATCTATTCAGGACCGCCAGCCAAAATCAAAAGTTTTCTCAGTGAAACATCTTCCATCGATGAAGATAAACGATTCCCAATCGAAACTCTCATTCGATATTCTTGCACTGGTCACTTGAATCCCATCGTACAGCGATTAGCCGAAGAAACTGATAATCAAACCAATAAAATCACACCGTCGCTGTTACAGGATACTGTTCATATAAAGGATGGTGTACCATTCCCTCAAATTCGGTTCTCATTGCGATCGGTATCAATTTTATTTCTACGTTTGTCTCATTTTTCAATCCGATATCAATGGCCATTATGGCTTACATATGTGTGATTCTACAAGTCTTTCTAGGCACTATGTTTCTAGATTTGTTTGATGAAAAAATAGCTGAAATCGACGGTTGTATATCGATAGAAGACGATATTCTAGCCGTTTGTTTGAATGTTACTGATCATAAATGGAAAAAAGATTCTCGTCTTGCCAGCAATATTAATTTTGTCATGTTTTCAAGTTTAGCATTCTTTTCGATATTGAATGCGCATATGAGCAACTTGTTTTCCTTTGAATTGAAATTTTTTGCAACTCAACATTTAAATGGTATGGTTTTAACTTTGGATTATTTTTAAATTATTTTAATTCATTCTAATTAAAGGATGGTATACGTGTGGCTCGTATTATTTGTCGAAATTATTGTTCGATGCTACCACAATCCTACCGATGGTCATAATTTTTGCTTATGTAACCGATATCTATTCAACAGTTTCGCCAAACAATTTTTTCTGGTGGCAAGTGATCAATTTATATTTATCATCATTTTGTTTTTTGGCCATAATTAATATGAACGTATTGTTTTTACATAAATCAATTATTGTTCTATTCATCGTTATCGCTAATTCACAGGGTTTTTTTCTATTATTATCCAATGTATACAATGTAATTGAAGAAATGAATTTCATTGTACGTTTTCTATCGAATTTTTCAATTTATCGTTATCAATTGCAAGCAACATTATGGCTTATTTATGGTGGTGATCGTTGTAAATCGCATGAAATACAATCATTGATGTATATGTTGAATATTCCGACAAATGTTGAATATTTCTACGATTGTATTGTCAAATTAGTTTTATTGGCCATATTTTATCATACAATGGCATTATTAGTATTCATTATTAAATACAATCCATTAATCAATCGCCATGAAAGAGCCGAACGTATCAAACGATATCGTAATGAACGTATTCTTAAGATAAAATCGAAATTATTTTTTTCTACAATAATTTAAAAATGTAAATTTTTATTAATTAATATATCGTTCCGATCATCGATGTAATCATTAAACTCATCAAAAAATTTAAAAAAAAAATTTTTTTTTCTGCAATCAAATCATCTTTCAAAAAATGTACTTTTCACTTTTACACTATAGTCACATTAAACATTAAAGTTGATGGATTGACATATAGTTTTTTTTTTGACTGTTATTATCTGACTGATAGACAAAAAACTTCGTATCACTGGCCGGTTTGAAATAAACTTTGATTTTATTGAGTATAATTTAATACAAGAAAAATAATAATTAATAAGAAAACGTAAACATAACAACATCACGATGATAATCACAATAATAAAGAAAGTATCAACCAATTCATTTACGATGTTGATGGTGATGATCATAATGACAAATAATAAATAAGTAAGAACAAATTCATTGATGTGTCGATGATGATAAACCATGCTCGTTCTCATGATGATGATATTGATCTTTTTTGCTCAAACAGCGATCAAGAAAAAGCGCGCGAAAGCACAATGATGTCGAATGAAACAGATGTATGTTGCGAATTCAAAAAACCAATTTCGTTGTGTTGGAAAAATTTACGTTATGAAGTCGATGAATGGTTTATGGTCGATGGTTGGCAACCACGACGACGGCGAAAAGTGATCCTCAATCGTCTTAATGGATCAGTACGGATGAACAGTTTGAATGCATTGCTTGGACCATCCGGTGCCGGTAAAACTTCGCTCATAAATTGTCTCATTGGAAATGTTCCAGCCAAGAACATTTCACCCGACACTGAAATTTATATCAACAGTGAAATAATCACAAAGTCATCGAATTCATTGGTCAGTTTTGTGCCACAATTCGTTCATGAGATAATCCTAGGACGGTTCACAGTGCTCGAGACTTTGTATTATGCATTCTGCTTCAAGAATCCTGCTCACTATCATGGCAGAGCATATGAACACATCCAGTCAACGATCCAGGAATTGATGCTAAATCCAAAAGTGTTGCAAACACGTTTCGAAAATTGCTCTGGTGGCGAACAACGTCGAGTGGCCATCGCTCAAGAGCTGATGTCAATCGAATCGAAACCACCGTTTTTGTTTGTTGATGAACCGACCACCGGCCTGGACAGTGAGTCAGCATTGGTGGTAATGAAGTGTCTACAACGATTGTCCACACAGAATGGCATCACAGTCCTCGTGTCAATTCATGCTCCCAGTTCGGATATATTGGATATGTTCGATCAATTGTACATCATAGCCAAAGGAGGTGTTTGCATTTATTCTGATCAACCGGGTGGATTACGGTCACATCTGAATCAAATCACTGGAATCGCATTGAATGAGGATGATTCTCCGATCCAGGAATATCTTCGTATCGCTAGCAATGGCATCAATGATGAACAAGTAAGAAAATTAACACAAGAAAGTGTGCAACAAGACCATCAACGACTTACAGCTCATTTCAGTAAATTTGAAAAAGAAGAATGTCCATTTGCTTTTATTCCAAAGGGCATTCCTCATTATTCACGAAAATTTCGTAGTTCGGATCTTTGGACACAATTCTGGCGTCTATTACGTTTGACATTCATTGCTGATGTTCGACATATAATTGGTATTTTGATTTTAATCATAATAACTCTTACTACTTATACATCGATCACCAATAAAGATATGGTGATACCACGAGGATGTATGCCATTCAATATTGAAAATTTGAATCAAACCTGTCAGAATAAATTGAAAGAAGATCGATTAATCGGAACATTTATTATGTTACTTTTTTTAATTATGGTACTTACAATTTCACTCGGTATATCAATGTATTCGTTGATGACAGTGAATTTTATGAAAATTCTTCGCCACGAATATCGTACTGGTAAGACTCGTAGCATTAAACACAGTATATATCTAATTTATATATTTTTTTTTCATTTACAGGTTGGTACAGCTTTTCATCATTAATCCATCCTGTTCATGTGAATGACTTGATCACAATGATATTACTCACTATTATAAGCATTGTGATTTATTACATGACTAGTGACATTCTCTATATTGATGAATATCAAATGAATTGGCATCGTTTGCGTACTCTATATTCATTCAGCATAGTAGCATTCTTGTATGGCCAATCATTCGCTTATTTATTGACCAGTATTTGTATTGATCAATTTGAATTACTTCTCATTCTATGTCAAGTAGTGGTAGTTATATTGGGTACAACTAATGGATTAACAGTAATGATTGATTTAATGGACAAACCATTTTATCGAACAATATCACATTTACTTGGTGCTCGATATATTACCGATGGATATCTCTATGCACACTATGGTATTGATCGTTGCGATCCACAAACAGAATATTCACAAATAATGAAACAATTTTCCATCGACACAGACAATATCTATTCAAACATGAAAAATCCGATGATTGTAATAATAGTGGTTCGAATCATTTCTATCATTGTGATGCGTTGGACATTTAGCAATGTGAACAATGGAAAAATCGTATCAGCAACAAAGCAAGAAACATTGACAAAAATCCTAACTCCTGCCATTGAAATCAATTTTCATGAAAAGGCTACGTTTGTCCAGATTTTTGATGGTAATAATAATAACAATATTGAACCTCAAATGGCCAAAAATGAATTTCAACAATTTTGTACTGGCCGTTACATAATTGGATGGCGTCAATTGACATTGTTTGCGACTGATACCATCTATGAAGTGCGTTCTACACCTGGACCGTTAGATGATTTTGGAGACAAGTTAATATTACGGAATCTCAGTGGACAATTTCAGTTTGGAACATTGAATGCAATCATGGGCAGCTCCGGTTCGGGCAAAACGTCACTGTTGAAAGTTTTCAATGGAAAAATGAAAACCAAACTGACCGGTTCGACTCAATTCTACCTCAGTCGATTCGTACCGATTCGGACTTGCTTTATCAAACAAGAAGTATCCAAACACTTGATACCCGGATTGACGAGCAAACAAAGTTTGATCTATGCTTCTAAATTAAAGAATTGTCACGAAACACAAACAATTGATCATGAACAAGTGGCTGACAATTTGCTCAATGAATTAGACATGACCAACACGGGCAACACTTTGGTGCAAAATTGTTCCGGTGGAGAAAGGAAACGACTGGCTCTGGCAATGGAATTGACATCCGTTCGAATGCCCAATCTCATTTGCATTGATGAACCTGTCAGTGGTTTGGATTCCAATTCGGCACGGTTGGTCCTTCGATGTCTTCGACAATTCATTGCTCGTCATCCAGATATCACTATGGTGGTCAGCATTCATCAACCTAGTACCGAACAATTGGACATGTTTGACCTATGCTATGTGCTAGCATTCGATGGCCTTGGTATCTATTCAGGACCGCCAGCCAAAATCAAAAGTTTTCTCAGTGAAACATCTTCCATCGATGAAGATAAACGATTCCCAATCGAAACTCTCATTCGATATTCTTGCACTGGTCACTTGAATCCCATCGTACAGCGATTAGCCGAAGAAACTGATAATCAAACCAATAAAATCACACCGTCGCTGTTACAGGATACTGTTCATATAAAGGATGGTGTACCATTCCCTCAAATTCGGTTCTCATTGCGATCGGTATCAATTTTATTTCTACGTTTGTCTCATTTTTCAATCCGATATCAATGGCCATTATGGCTTACATATGTGATTCTACAAGTCTTTCTAGGCACTATGTTTCTAGATTTGTTTGATGAAAAAATAGCTGAAATCGACGGTTGTATATCGATAGAAGACGATATTCTAGCCGTTTGTTTGAATGTTACTGATCATAAATGGAAAAAAGATTCTCGTCTTGCCAGCAATGTTAATTTTGTCATGTTTTCAAGTTTAGCATTCTTTTCGATATTGAATGCGCATATGAGCAACTTGTTTTCCTTTGAATTGAAATTTTTTGCAACTCAACATTTAAATGGTATGGTTTTAATTTTGGATTATTTTTAAATTATTTTAATTCCTTCTAATTAAAGGATGGTACACGTGTGGCTCGTATTATTTGTCGAAATTATTGTTCGATGCTACCACAATCCTACCGATGGTCATAATTTTTGCTTATGTAACCGATATCTATTCAACAGTTTCGCCAAACAATTTTTTCTGGTGGCAAGTGATCAATTTATATTTATCATCATTTTGTTTTCTGGCCATAATTAATATGAACGTATTGTTTTTACATAAATCGATTATTGTTCTATTCATCGTTATCGCTAATTCACAGGGCTTTTTTCTATTATTATCCAATGTATACAATGTAATTGAAGAAATGAATTTCATCGTACGTTTTCTATCGAATTTTTCAATTTATCGTTATCAATTGCAAGCAACATTATGGCTTATTTATGGTGGTGATCGTTGTAAATCGCATGAAATACAATCATTGATGTATATGTTGAATATTCCAACAAATGTTGAATATTTCTACGATTGTATTGTCAAATTAGTTTTATTGGCCATATTTTATCATACATTGGCATTATTAGTATTCATTATTAAATACAATCCATTAATCAATCGACATAAAAGAGCCGAACGTATCAAACGATATCATAATGAACGTATTCTTAAGATAAAATCGAAATTATTTTTTTCTACAATAATTTAAAAATGTAAATGATTGCAATCAAAAATTATTCATGAATACGTTAGTTTATTGTGATCATTCATATAATTCAACAAATGATATATATTCAAAATTATCAATCAGAATCAGTACCACCTTCATAATCATGACTACAAGCATCTTCATAACCATAATCATAACCATAATCATCATCATAATCATAATCATAATCATCATCATCATCATCATCATCATCATCATTATTATCCAATTGATTTCGGGCGTTCGGCATCTTATACAAATCAGGAAACTGTCTTGAAAATTCTATTAATGTCTTTGGCAATTGATGCTCCAATTTTGGCACAACTGCAGAAACCGGTGTATTTGTTGTTGAAGCATTGATTTTCTTTTCTTCATTTGGCATAGCACCACTGTTGTTGCTCGAAAAATTCAAGCTCTTTTGAGTTTCAACGACCACACCACGTGTTAGCGAACATGCCGGCATTGTTTGATTGACTGATTCTCGTTCTTCTTCTTTAGACGATTTAATGAAATCTGGACAATGTTGTTGTGTAGGATTCATTTTAATGTCAAATGACAGCAACAAATTTTTTGAGTTTATATAATTTTAAAACCTTACACAAAACAAAAAATCATTTAATTCTGACGTGTAATAGTCGAATATCGATCGAATAGTTTTATTTCAACAAAAACAAAACAAAAAATCACAACATTTAAAATTTAAAATTCGAACTTTCGAATAATAAAATTCTACACTATATATATTCGAATTAACATATACATCAATTGGAAAAAATATGATGAATTCGAATTTCGAAATTGATCTTGCAACACACAATTAGAGAAATAAATAAAACACATCGGGGCCATACACAAACGGTTTTTTTTTTGATTATTATGCACGAAATAATATATTATTTATATGAGAATGAGAATTTTCAGTTCGAATGAATTGTGTATTTTTTTTTCTTTTCCAATTTGATTTATTACAAGCCCGGAACAGGCTGATCTTCCCCGCATCAAATGCCAAGTTAATACACAGTGCAAGCACTTGGCGAGTGTAAAAGTTGTAGTTACCGACAAACGTAAGCGACATAGACTTGTATGTATAGAAGATTTATGGAATTTTTTTTTGTCACAGTCGATTTTGTTTCAAATTTTCAAAAAGTTCTCATCTATCACATGTAAAAGTGGTAATGATAAAAATTAAGGATTAGTAAATAGACTAGTCATCGTTATCATTGTAATGATGGGGTTGGTGGTGGTTATGATGATTGTTGCTGTTGTTATTGTCTTTGTTGTTGTTGTTGTTGTTGTTGTTGTTGTTGTTGCTGAAATAATCCATCATCCAATAAATGATATAATACTGGCGGTGTATAGGAACAAACACAAAAATCTCTTTTATGTTTAAAATTACGATTGTTAATCTGAACAAAGACAAAAAGAAATCGTGTGATAAATGAATTTTCATTCATTCATTCATTTTTGCAAACTTACACGTGATGTAATTAGATTACGAAACCAATGATGAAAACCGAAAAAAGTGAATGCCAATAATGTGATGATCAATATTATCAATACAAATAATGTAATACGTGAGTATTGTGTTTTAATAATCATTACGGTGAATAATTGAAATTGCATCAATATGAGGCCAATTAGTACATACATTATGGCACTTGAATGTATACGGCGATTAATTTTTGTCGGTTGATAAACATGATAGATATTATAACGATCGACAATATGTTTTCCAATCATATACAACAATCCTAAATCAATCAATAGGCAAAAATCAATACCAATAAAAACATTGAAAATCAAACTTACCACATGGTGCAATTAATGGACATGCAAAACTATATATAACAGTCATTGTGAATATAAGTAAAAATCTTGGATAACTAACACCGAATGGAAAATCAAATGTAACCCATTTACGTGCTTTTTGATATTCAGCAGGTGAACGTAAAAATAATGTATAAACCAAATATAATACTAATTCAGGTATTCGTAAAATTTCTGCCACATTACCAAGTATTGCTGCTTGTAATGTATAGATAACAAAAAATGCACCATTATCCACAGGAAATAAACAATGCCAACGAAATTTATGTTGATCAGTATTCGATGCAAGTACAGCGCCCAACATTGCATTTATACTAAATTAATTGAATATGTAAATAAATTATTACAATGTCAAAATTAGAAATTAGATCATCATCACAAACAAAATGGCATGAATAGCCAAAAAATAAAAATAAATAAAAATCCTCATTACCTGAGAAATCCGGTCGATGGCAATACAATAATCATCATGACTAGAAAAGCATATACTTTTGACATGACGGCATGATTTAGATCCGAAATTGTTTTATATGGAATCATTTGACAAGCATAGGTAACAATCGATGGCAAAATGACGGCCAACAACATCAATAGAAATGGACTCATAAAATCCGTAATAATTGAATTCTACAGAATTACAGAAAAAAAATGAATTTGACATTGAATAAATTAATAAGATAAATTTTACCGGTTTAAGTATTCCTTTTTTAATCAATTCTTTTGTTGCAATTAGATCGAAAATTTTCAATAGAAAAGCCGGTGTAGATAGAAAAAAGAATATGATGAACAATATGAATGATATGATCATTTTTCTTAACCATAATAAATTCATATCAAATGCAATATCACGCCAATTAACATCATCGGGAAATGGTGCATGGCTAACCATACATTTGGCTAGATCAAATTCATTTTGAAAATTAAAACAAATACCACACAATAGACAATTGGCGCAGGAATGTTTTTGTTTGTTTTTTATGTATTTATACACACTAGATATGGATAGAATAGAATTTGAATATAGAATTAATTAAAAAATGATGATGATGATGATTATTATCATTCATTAAAATTATTACTAACTTCATTGCCATTAATTCTGTATGAAATGTAATGAATGCTGATCGTACTGATTGTGTTGGAATATTTTGCAATTCATTGTAAATTTCCAATTCTAGATCTTGTTTTTCATTATGATAAAATTCTGCTGCATCAACATCGTTATTTCTACAGCAACAACAAAGACAGCAGCCAAAAAGTCGATTACAATTGATGGGGTGAATCATAAAACGATTATCATTATTGCTATTATCAACAATAACGACAATATTATCTTGTTGTTGTTGAACAATATTCGAATTTTCTTGCTGCTGCTGCTGTTGTTGTTGTTGTTGTTGTTGTAATTCATTATTAATTTCTTCACAATATTTCAATGCATTCACAGCGTTTGTATATGATTGTTCAAGATAATCCAATTGTCGTACATCGGCAATCAATTGTATACCACTAATTTGTACATCGGGAAATTTTTCAACAAAATAATTTTGTAATTTTTCCACAAGATTATCAAGTATTGGAATATGTCGAATCAATAATGTTTTACAAAACATAAGATCATCATCGGTTTTTAATTCACTGGAAAAACGATTCATAAGAAAAACACCCTATAAATGAATTTAAAAACAAAACAAAATTATCATCAAAAAACAACAACAACAATAACAACAACAACAACAAATACATACAACAATGATGATAAATGTTGAACAAATTGCATGTGCCCAATATAGATTCGAATCATGTGGTACATTACTGATCGATGTACGAGCAAATGCTTTTCCCTCTTTCATATATCATTGATGATGATGATGATGATGATGAAAACAGAAAACAAATAAACACAAAAATTCGATTAATCGGTTATTCAAGCGAGTAAAAACCCATACATTGTAATCATAATTACCATTATTTCCTTGTACATTAATAGGAAGTATTATGACAATTGTAACAAATGATAAAATGAATAAAAATATGATAATATAACGTTGAAATAATAGATATTGATAGGCATCATGGCCTTTATTGGCCAATATATCGTCATCCGTTATATTCAATAAATGTGTAAATATACGTTGAATATAATTAACAGGATTATTAGTTAAATTAATAATGGCATTTTGTATGACCACAGAATTTCTTTCCACTGGAAATGTTGATTCTGTTGTTGGTACTAGATTTGATTTTGAACCACTTAGATCAGCGGTAGCATTCGATGCAAATATATTAGCACCATCACCATTACTATTGGTTTTTCGATGTTTTCTATCATCATCGATTATTGTTGTTGTTGTTGTTACCGTTGATGTTGTCGATGTCGATGTTGATGATGATGATGATGATGAATGATTATCAATTTGAGAATTTTGTGCTAAAATTGTTGTTATCGATGGTGATGATGATGTTGATGGAATTATTATTATTATTATTTACAATGGTTGATGATGATGATCCATATGTTGTGGAATATGTACGTTTATGACGTAGTTGTTGTTGTTGTTGATTATTTGATTTATTATTACAACGTTGATTTTTACATAAACTTAAATGAAATGGTAATATATTTGGTGATATATTTTGTTGTTTAAAATAACTTTCAATTGATTGAAAATTTTTATTTGCATGTACAATTGTTTTCTTTTTAATATCACGATTTCCATAGATAAATTGTACCCAGCTAAAAAAAAAACAAAAACAACGACAACAAAATTTTAGTTTCAATCAGGAGAAAAAAAAACCCATACTACTCACTTGGTACGATTATTATTTTTAACTTCATATGAATGATAACGTGCCAAATAACGAAATATCACAAATGGTAATATTAAAAACTGTGGCAAAAAAAAATCAAAAAAATTACATCAAAAATTTACATTGACAATTGGGCAATATATGAGAAAATACATACCAGACAAAGTATCAATTGTATGACCAATGATTCAGGTATACCTTCCCAGCCACGATCAATTTCAATCAATGTCATATTTTTCGATAGAAATACATTACATGTATAATTTAGATCATATTCAGTATCGAATTGTATGAAAAAATCACCAAATACTTTTCGATATAGATCTTGTATGAATTCCATCGTTGTTGTTGTTGTTGTTAAATCATTTACATCAATAAATTCTCAAAAATTTTCTACCAACAAACACACATACACAATGATCACAATATTTTGCAACAAAATAATAATCAACAACAACAACAAAAAAAAAAATTTCGAGTTTAGAATATTGGGCGTCAATCGACCTTGAAAAACACACACACAAACACAAGAATCGAATCAATTATTGTAGGCAGCAATTTATGATTAATAATCTTTTGGTTCGAAAAAAAATAAGACGAAAGCGCTGAATTGAAGAAAATTCGATCACAAAATTAAATGACGTAGAGAAGAATTTTTTTTTTTTTTTGCTTCACAGCGTTCGATTAATGAAGAATTGCAATCATATTATTTTTTTTTTGTCATCGTCGAAACAATAAAAAAAACACACTAACGCATTAGACAGGATATATATGTTATGGAGCTTGATATACAACAATATATAATTCAAGGGCGTCAACGGTGTGACCAAAAACACACAAAATGAATGAATGAATGGATCACGAAATATTCTATGGATTCTATAGAATGTGAATTAGATTTCACTATATCATCATCATCATCATCATGATCATCACGATTGTTGATAAGAGATTGGTTGTTGTTGTATTCCAATCAGTGCAATATTTTTTTTTTCTGTTTCTTTTGTTTTTTGTTGATAAAAATTATTTGTTGCTATATTTTGATGATTATGATAATGGTGGTGGTGGTGGTGGTTAATTTGGTCGAAATCAAATTTGTAAATTGACATTTAGTCATGGCAAAATATAAATTTGTTGTTGTTGTTGTTGTTGCAATCCGGAACGGAATATATGAGAAATAATAATTTTTTTGAGCTGTTTCTGTGTTTTTGTTGCACTTAATGATGAATGGATGTGAATGGATAAAAAAAAGAAAGAAAGAAATTGCTCACTTTAGGGAAATGGTTTTTTGATGATGATGATGAAAAAGTCGTCAACGACAATTTAACGCTATGATGATAAATGATTTTGTTGTTGTTGTTGTTGTTGTTATTGTTGTTTTCAAGCTTTATCCACCACCATCATCATCATCATCATCATCATCATCACCACTTGATTAGCATACCCATCATTCACGGTTTTTTATTATTATTGTGTTTTTATTTGTTTGTTTAATAAATTCAAAAAAACTTAATTATAATGTAATATACTTTATATATGAACGGCCAATCTATTCATTATTATTACATTGAAAATGTAATGCAAACCAAATGAAAATAGGGTAGAATGTTTTGTGCGCATTTAAAAGGTTTTTGTTTTAGTAACAAAACAAACACAAAAAAATGACAAAATTTTTCTTTGTAAATTTTCATTTTCATTTTTTTTTATTGCAATCCAATTCATATATCGATAGGATACTAATTAAAATCATGGATTAACCGCCAATCAATCAATCAATCAAACATTGCCGGATACATCTTAATGGTTTTATATATATCAAAAACAATCACCACAACTACAATTACAATGTGTATCTATTTTTATCATTTATGATTCATTCACTGTGTAACAACGAGATATTTGGATGATAAAAAAAAACCATGACAATATAAAGTATTTATAAATGGAGATTGTGAAATCAAACGTTTTTTTTTTTTTTTGGTGGGGGGAGGGGCTGGAGAGAGTTACAAATGGATTTTTATGTATGAATTTTTATCTGAAATTTTACACTTGGTGGTTGTGATACATCAGTGGTTACAACCGATGGTATACCAAGATTGAATAATGCACCACGAATTAGGCCACAACTGAATGCTAGATACTACATAGATTATGATGGTGGTTGAAAAAAATATAAAATGAAAAAAAATTAAATGAAATGAAATGAAACTAATTCTGGATGAATACTAACCTTTCCAATTTGATCCATATATTGTTGTGAATCAGTCATACGTTTAAGAAAACGAAATTGATTATCAATCAATACATAGATGCCCTGATGATTTGTACGTAATGTATCGGCTTGTTTGCCAAAAATTGCTGACCAAAATTCTTTACAAATAAATTTAATTATTTCCAATTCATCCTTGAAACGATTCCATTCACGTGTATATCTAAATGAATAAAATAAAATGGGAAATTTTTTTCAACAAAAATGAAGAGATTTCAAAACAAACAAACTTTTTTATAAATCGAAATCCAACTTGGTAGCCAATAGATTCTTGTCGGCTTAAATCATTTGGCTTAAAATAAAGAGAAAATTAACGAAAATCAATTCAATCAATTTGAACAAAAATAAAAATCAAATCAAACCTTTTCTTCACCATTCATTTCATCGAATAATGAAACAAATTCCATGTGAAGAAAATCAAGAAGAATATCATCGGCCATGATTTGACAGTCAAAAGAAATTTTTATTGCTTTTGTTGTGCATGTGTGTGTGTGTGTGTTTTTGATGGATTTCGCAAATATCAAATCAGCTGATCGGCATATCATTTGTGTGTGATATAATTGTGGATATTTATCGCCAGAAAATTTTTTCAATAAAATCATGTCCAGTAATTATCGTATTTTTTTACATTTTCTTACCACATTAGATGATGCCATTAATGTTGCAACCGGTCTACGTGGTAATCCACATCTTATGAATCGTATTCGACAATCATTGAATGAACAATCAAAAATTAATGTTTCAAAATTGAAAAAATTCCAACAATCATCATCATCATCATCATCGGAATTTCGTAAACTGAAAGTAAGTGTTTCCTATTCTTTCATTCTATTTTTTTTCATCCGATTCAAATTCATTCCATGAATTTTTAGATTGATCCGAATTCCGTAATTGATGATGTAACGATTGTGGCCGAAGGATTACGACAATATGCTAATTATGTGGCTAAACATTCGGTTAAAGTTGATCCAACCATAAAAATGACTCCAACTCTCGACTTGACTACTCTCATACCACAATCACAATCATCAGTAATGACGGCAAAAGAACAAAAACTTAAAACAAGACCGATGATTACACCAACAATGAATCCAATTGAACCTCTTGCTAAACAAAACAATTTTCGTCGATCCATATCTGAACCAACCACCACTGGTGGTGGTAGTACATTTCGTCCAGATTATATGGCACAGAAAAAAAGTCTAAACGAAGCTGCTGCATTGAAATTATCGGAAAAATCACGTGAACGTAAAGTACCGGCAAATCGTTTGTCACGTGTATTATCATTCGGTGGTCTAGCCGTTTCAATGGGATTCAGTGCAGCCGAAGAATTAGCCAAAAGAATTGTTGTTGGCGCTGTTGATAATAATAATAATAATGGTAAAACGGAAAATTCTGTTTTTGCTACAAATCTTTTTCTAACGAAAAATAATGCACAAAAAATTGTCGATACATTATGTCAGGTTCGTGGTGCAGCATTAAAATTAGGTCAAATGCTCAGTATACAAGATAATGAATTACTTGGACCAGAATTACAATCTATATTTGAACGTGTAAGACAATCGGCTGATTATATGCCAAAATCACAATTGGAAGCCATGGTACGCCATGAACTTGGCGATAATTGGCAATCATTATTTTCAAAATTCGATATGAAACCATTTGCAGCTGCAAGTATTGGTCAAGTACATCAAGCACAACTTGATGATGATGATGGATCATTAGTTGCCGTTAAAGTACAATATCCTGGTGTTGCCGAAAGCATTGAAAGTGATATTAAAAATGTATTGACAATCATTAAATATGCAAATATTTTTCCCGAAGGTTTATTCATTGATCATATAATGAATTATGCAAAAGTTGAACTTGCATGGGAAGTAGATTATTGTCGTGAAGCACAATGCCAGATACGATATGGTGATTTGATTCGTGAACACAGTTATCCGGAAGAAAATCTTCGTGTACCACGTGTATATGAATCATTATCGACCAGGAAAGTATTGACAACTGAATTAATTTCCGGTATTCCTATTGATAAATTGGATGATTTTAATGAAACATCTGATCCGGCCGTAAAAAATTCCGTTATGGAACGTATTTTACGTTTATTTTTTCGTGAATTATTCGTCTTTAATTACATGCAAACCGATCCAAATTGGTCGAATTTTTTCTACGATTATACAACCGATACATTATCATTGATTGATTTCGGAAATTGTCGTCCATTTTCCGAACAATTTGTCATGAAATATCGTGAAATAATTGAAGCGGCAATTGAAAATGATCGTCAAACTATATTGGATAAATCATTGGAGATTGGATTCCTAACTGGTTATGAAACGGAAATGTTTAAAAATGCACATGCCGATTCTGTTCTAATCATTGGCGAGGCGTTACGAATTTCTGATCGTTTTGATTTTAGCCGTCAATCTGTGATCAAACGAATCAATAATCAATTACCAATACTGTTGAAACATCGATTGAAACCACCGCCAGAAGAAATTTATTCATTACATCGAAAACTTTCCGGACTATTTTTACTTTGTTGTAAATTAAAAGTACAAGTAAATTGTCGTGCAATCTATGACGATGTTGTCGATCAAATGATACGATTGAAACAACAACAACAACATCAATCAAATCAATAATAAAGATAATTTGAAACGCAATTTAATCAATTTTTAAAAAATTTATTACAGCATATTCACCAATTTCCATCCAATCACTTGGAAATTGTTTGATACGTTCGATAATCACCGGATCATCGTGAATACCGACAACAACATCGGCTTTAATTGTTCGTAGTGTACAAATAGCCGCTGATTTTGGTTGAAATTCTCGAATCGCTTGTTTAAAAGATGTTCGAATATTCCATTTTCGATCACCAACTAATTTTCTATAATTAAGATCACCTTTGAATAAAATTAAACGTGATTCATGGCAAAAATCTCGATATAATTCCGGTGCTACACGTGGCATTTGTGCATAATCATGTGGTAATGTCCAAAAATCATGTTCTTCAATTAACCATTGACGATGGCGAAAATTTTCATTAAAACGTTCATTTAATCGTTTAAGATCTAAACTGATTCCGGCCGTATCATTAACATATTTTAATAACCATTTTATATCACTGGTCATTGTGTCCGATACAAACCATGGCATACATTTGACATGAAAATGTACAATAACCTGATCTTTTGGCAATAATCCAATCGTATGCATAGCTTCTACCCAACAAAAATCCGTAAATAATTCATAACCAGCATTATCCAATATGATATCGATTCGATAGGATTTTTTATCATTTTGGTTGTTGTTAGAATTTTGGCCGGAAAATAATTGTTGCATAAATGACCAGAAATTTTTCAAATCATTCACAAGAATTTTCGATTCCAATTCATTGAAATCAAAATCACCGGTTTGTTTACGTTCACCACATGATAATGATAGATCAAATTTATTACCCCATAATGAATGCATTGTATAAAATGTAAATGTAGATTCTTGATAATCGGATGATTGTTGTTGGTCGTTGAGCATTAATAAATGTTTGGCCAATTTTTCCGCCGGTTTCAAACACAATTCAAATGATTCTTTTTTGACAGTGAAAAATTGATCAAAATTTTGAAAATATTTTGAACGAACAAAAATTTCATGCATCATACGATAGAAATAACATTCACTTAGTAGCCATGAAACATTGAAATAAACAACATTATCATTATGGCGATATTCTTCATTCAACAAATCATTCCATGCTTGTGTATCCGATAATGATGATGAAACAATTGGTCGTATTGATTTATTTGTCTGTAGTTCATATTTAAGTTTGGCCAATTCTTCAATCAATTGTTTAGTTTCTTCTTCAGCTTCTGGTTGTTGTTCTGGTGGTAATTTTAGATCAATCGAAATGATCTGTTTTCGTTGACGACATAATAGATCGATTACTTTTGTTATAATTATCGGTAAACGATAACTAAGTGTTTTATATGCAAATGAACTGTGGAAATGAGAAAAAAAAAGAATTTAAAATCTATTTTTGATTACCATAATATAAGTAATTAATTATCGTTATTACTTTTTATCATTGGCCGATAATGGTTCGGGTATTATTGGTTGAGAATCCATTTTGGTTTTCCTAAATTATTTATTTGTATGATAAATAAATAAAAAAAAATTAATTTCAAAACAAAAAAAAAAAAACAATAAAATTCGAGAATGAAATTCCAGCTGAAAATTCTTTTTAAAAAAATAATTCAGTAACGTATTATATGGACAGCATATTCTAGTACACGAGTGTTATTTTTAAATTTTGACCGTTTAAATTTTTTCTTTTACACGCATTTACATATCATTCGCAAACAGACACACACACAAAGTTTATAACCGTCACACATTTCAATTGTTTTTCGTGTGAAATTATTCAAAGAAAAAATGGCCAATATTTTGACCGATATCAATAATATCGAACAACAACAACAACAACAAAATCAAAATCAAAATTTACGAAATGAAAAAAATTCTAATGATGATGGTGATACGAAATCAATCAAATCTGTTGACCAAGATGAACAACATCAACAATCGAATAATAATGATAAAATGAAACAATGGACATTGAATGATTTTGAAATTGGCCGTCTACTTGGTAAAGGAAAATTTGGTAATGTTTATTCGGCACGTGAAAAACGAAGTAAATATATTGTTGCATTGAAAATTCTATTCAAATCACAATTATTGCATAATAATGTTACACATCAATTACGGCGTGAAATTGAAATACAATCACATCTGAAACATCCAAATATTTTACGATTATTTGGCTATTTTCATGATGATTATCGTATTTATTTGATATTGGAATATGCACCAAAAGGTGAATTGTATACATTATTGACTAAAATGGGAAAATTTCCAGAAATACAAGCATCAATGTATATATCACAAGTGATTGAAGCATTACATTGTCTACATCAACGTAATGTTATACATCGTGATTTAAAACCGGAAAATATATTGCTTGGTTCCAATGGCCAGGTAAAAATTGCTGATTTTGGTTGGTCAGTACATGCACCATCATCACGTCGTGAAACAATGTGTGGTACATTGGATTATCTTCCACCGGAAATGATATTACAACGACCATATAATCATTATGTGGATCTTTGGTGTTTAGGTGTATTAGCATATGAATTTATTGTTGGCCGGCCACCATTTGAAACGAAAAATTCATTTGAAACATATCGTCGTATTATAACATTATCATATGATATACCGAATCATTTGAGTGATGAGGCAAAAAATTTTATTCAAAGGGTTAGTTTGTTGAATGAAAAACCTTAATCAAATTCCAATGAATTGAATTTATCTATTTTTTTCTAATTTTAGTTGATTGTCAAAGAACCAGTACGACGAATGTCATTGGCGGAAGCACGTCATCATCGTTGGATTAAAATGTTTCAACAACAACAACAACAACCACAACAGCAGCAGCAGCGGCAGTGCAACAACAAAATCATTCAAAATCGAACAACATCAATCAATAATCAACAATAATGATAATTTGATTAATTTTTTTTCGACTACATTTGACTCATTTCATGGACGAATGAATTGATTGAAATTTGTTTGTTCAATCAAACCATTGTGTGTTTTGTATATGATTTATCAATTTCTATTATTAAATTTCATCGCAACAACCAAACAAACAAACAAAAAAAAAGAATACAAATGGAAACACAAAAAAATCTACTTTATAAAGAAATATTCAATATTTTTTCCAAAGGTAAAAAATCATTTGGTTATAAAGAATTGGGCCATATAATGAAATCATATGGAATGCGTACTAGTGATATTGAACTACAGGATATGATTAGCCAAATGGATTTGAATGTAAGTGGTGAGATTGAATTTCGTGAATTTTATCAATTTATAACGAAAAAAATTAAACGACAAGAAGCTGAAGAAGAACTATATGAAGCATTTAAATTATTTGATCAAGAAGGCAATGGTTTCATCGCTAGTAAAGATCTACGTGAAGCATTGGCTAATCTGGGTGAAAAATTTAGTACTGGTGAAATTGATGAAATGTTTAATGAATTTAATATCGATAATGATGGTGAAATTTTTATCGATGAAATTATTACAAAATTAACGAAAAATACAAAGAAAAATTGAATTTTTTTTCGACAAATTTTCTATTTTTAGAAAAAAAATTTATAAAACAAGATTGCCGGTGAGTGGTGGGTTTCATAATTCTTTAAAAATGTTCACATTTGTTGTTTTTTCATTCGATTCTTTTGCCTGTTGATTGATATTTTTTGTCATTGGAGTAGTGGAAGATGGTGTTTTAGGTTTACCCGTAAGCCATTCACTGATTGTGGATTGATTCTTTTTTTTATTATCAACATTATCCATGGCTTTGATTCTTTCCTTTTTTTTATTTGAAAAAAGAAAATTATAATCTCTGATGATTAATTGCAAAAAAAAAATCAATCAATAAACTAACCTTCATTTTACGGATTTTTTCCTCATCCGATGGTACAAACATTATACCAACGGCTAATATGACAAAACTGGCACCGGTAATCCATTTTGTTAACGATATAATACCTTGATTTGTGTTCATTTTAAAATTTGAATAAAAAAAAAAAAAAAATTGAAAGTCGAATTTTGTATGTTCATGTTCAACAAAAAAAAAACTCTATTTAAACATTTTTAATTCTTTCGAAGTGGATATAGTCGAATGTTAATGATATATTGTTTTGGCGTCTTTCAAAGTTTTTTTATTTCATCAAACAAATATGTATATCTCCATTTGATTATCATTATCATTTATAAACACACAAACATATACAATCCAAAACAACCAAAATTATAATATAATATGTGTTTGAGTGTGTGTGTGAAATGAATTGAATTGTATTGTATATATCCTTTTTTTTCTCATCAACACATTTGATTAATAGTGAATTGATGGTGAATTGGTGTAGTGGTGGGTGATGAATAGAGTGTGAGCCACAAATATATAAGCTTATTATTATTGTTTTCAAAGTTTAGGAGATTTTTTTTTGTTGTTGTTGTTGTTATTTTTATTGCTGATCGTATTGGTTGTGGTTGTGGTTGATCAATCATCAATCAATCAATAATAATGACGATCATCGCGTAATTGAATAGTCATATCGTTGATTATAAGCATGTAAGCACAAAAAATTCATAGTGAAACAACAGCAAAAAAAAATTTTTAATCTTTTTTTCTATCCCTCTTTATCTCTCTCGCGCTTTCTCTCTCTCTCTCTCTCTTTAAATCAAAATTGATTGATGAATAATCAATCAATCACTCATCAACAACAGGTATATCCGATGGCAAATCTTGAATCTTGATGAATATTTCGAACGTTTCTACATCCATCTACATTCATCATCATCATTATTGAATGTTTGTGCAAACTTTGTGAATTATGACAATTTCGATCAATTTAAATATACTCAATTCAATCAGGCAAACCCATAATGAATATGTACAAGTCACCATGATGATGATGATCTATGTTTTTTTTTATTTATATTATGTTATCGATCAGTAAAATTAATTGACGACAAGCTTGAAGAAATTGAAATCTACACTGCACACACATCACCAGACACATACACAATCGACAAAATCAGCTAACCTAAAAATTACCAGCCATTTTAATTAATAAAAATAATAGAAAAATCGATTATCAACAAAAAAAAAAAAAAAAATATTTAGCAAGAAAATTTTCTTCACTCAACTTGTCTCAAAACAGCAGCTCATCATTGATTCGAATTTTATTTGTTTTGTTTTTTCTCATGACCAAATTTTTTTTTCACTATTTGCTACGTTGTTTTCATCAATCAATCAATAATAAGAAACAACAACAACAACAATAAAAAATGTATCGACGATTCATCAATACCGTTTTTATATTGGCACAGATTCGATCATTTATAGTGGCCGATATTGCTGTTGTAAGTGTATTTGTTTTTTGTTTTTTTTCTGATTAATTTCCCTCATTCATGTTTTGTTTTGTTTTTGTAGTTAGATTCACAGAATAAAAGTGTTGAATTGTTTATTGATTATAAGATAACATACACACCTCCTATATCTGAAGATGGCATTTATGTATGTATATATGAATTGATTGGTCAATAATGAATGGAATTTTAAATTTTTTTTTCTCGAAAAATTTTAGGGTGCTCTGACATTTGCATCGCCATCGGATGCATGTGCTCCAATCAGTCCACCACCAAGCCATCCTAATCTGACAATCAATTGGTTTGTATTGGCCTATCGTTCATCATCATTACATTCAAGATGTTCGAATCGTGAAAAGGTTTGAATGGAATTTTTTTTTAATGAAATGATTGTGAAAGAATTCTTTCATTATTTCAAAAAAAGATCCAACATGCTGTCCAAGCTGGATACAAAGCAATGATACTATATAGTCCAATGGATTTCTATCAAACATCAGTCATTTATTCAACAACATTTGAACGTAATATTTGAAAAATTTTAAATTGTAAAGAAACAAATTTGATTAATAATGTTCTTATATGATTACCATGATTATAGATTTAAATATTTCAATACCAGCCGTATTGGTTTCACATGAAGATGGCCAAACATTACGTTCGAATTTTCTATATGAAAGTGGATTTAGATTATATATTACATCGGAAATACCGCCAAATTTTAGCTATTATCTGATACCATTTGCCATTATAATTGGTGCTGGCATATTAATCATTATTTCATATGTCGTATTTCAGTTAATGATGTGTATCATGGAACGACGTAAAGCACAACGTCATCGTTTGTCTAGAAAAGATTTGAAAAAAGTTACACTTCAAAAATTTGAAAAAGGTTTGAAAAAATTTTCGTGTGGATTGTTGGGGATCTCTTTGATTTGAAATGATGATTTAATTTTTTTTTATTTGATCCTGAAATAGGTATATTTTATGAAACTTGTGCAATTTGCCTTGATGATTATATTGAAGGAGAAAAAATTCGTATACTACCATGTAATCATGGTAAGTTTATTTATTTATTTTTTTTCAATGATCATTTCGATAATAATCACTGAATTTCATTAGCTTATCACATGAAATGTATTGATCCATGGTTAACAAAAAATCGTCGTGTTTGTCCTGTTTGTAAAGCTAAAGTTACATTACCTGGAATGGAAGAATATTCTGATTCAGATTCAGATAATGATAATCAACGTAGTAATCGTTATCATCAACCAAATGAACGTACACAATTATTACCATCTTCTTCATCATCAAATACACCACATCCAACGACATCAGTGGCTGGTGTTCCTACTACTTCAACGAGTGTAAATCTTGAAGAAATTATTCGTTCAATTATTTCTGGTAGAGCATCAAGAACAACATCAATGATAACAACACCAGGTTCTAGACGTAATCGTTATACAAATATACCTGATTTATTGGATGATTCAACCATACAACCTGGTCCATCAACATCTGCACCAATCATTTCGGCTGATATATCATCACAGCAATCTGGACAGCAGCAAATAAGTAGAAATTTATCATCATCAAGAGTAAATTCAGCTCGACGAAATCGGCGAAGAAATCAACGAAATTCAGCACAACAACAGCAACAACAACAACCTCAATCACAGCTACAATCACAATTATCCTCATCATCTGAACATAATCAAACTGTTGTTCCAAGTGTACAGATTGTTATTGCCGATTTACATACAACAACTTCAGATAATATTGATCAACAACATCAACAATCATCATCAGTGTTGATAGCACCACTACAATTATCTATTAATTGTGATTCATCTGATATGGATGTTCAAAGGCCATTAACACCGGATGACGAAAATGGATCACAAAAACATGGATCTCAATTACCACCACCACCACCACAACAATCATCATCATCAATGAATGAAGTTGTATAGGATAAAATTAATCGTGGACAAATGTGCATTTTTTTAAATTTCTTTTTCCTTTTCATGAAGATATGCTTTAACAATATAATGGTAGTGGCTGGCAATATATGTTGATGATAATGGCAAGACATGGCAGAATTTTTTGGCTTTCAATAACAATAACAACGAAAAAAATCGATAACTTCATAATTTGTATTTTTGTGATAATCTTCGCTAATGAATTCATTTTTTCTCACACTCACACTCATTTCTCTCTAGCTCATCACTTTTCATTCAAGATTTTTCTCTTGTTTTTTTGTTTTCGCTTCTATTTCTTCATTTTTTTGGCGGAATCTATTGTAAATATTCACGCACACAGAAACACGCACGGATCATCATCATCACGTTTGAATGAATGGATGAATTTCACATATTTTTTGCCATCTTCCCTTCTCCCATTTGTATGTATGTATTTCGGGGAGATAAATTTTTGTGGCCAAGGTTTTTTTTGAGAAAAAAACAAAATAATCTTATATATAAAATTGTAATCATTGATTGATTATCAAAAAAAATAGTTTATTCTAAATAAACTCGAAATAAGAAAATGATGATATATTGAATTTATAATTCTCCATTTGACTTGTCTCTGTTAACAGATGGCAACACACCCATTATCAATTTCAAATGGAGAATTCATTAAATTCAATGATCAATGATGATGAGTTTTATATTTTTATTGTTTAGCGAAAAATAAACAATAAAAATCGAACCATACTTGCCTTTTAACTAATCAATATGTTTTAATTTTAGGTCGAGGACGAATAACGGTGTAAACGTTTAAATTGCTTTTGTCATGATGATTTTGATTTTGATTTACAAGTCTTCGATATTCGACCCATTGTTGCCACAAAAAGTATATATAAAACATTATGAAATGGAAAAATGAATATAAACAATTTAACAGTGTAAAAATGTCTGGATAACGTTCAGGTGGTTTCATTAGTAATGAAATTGTGTTCAATAGAATTGCACACAAAATTGAAATTTTGAACAATTGTTTCATTCGTGAATTTGAATCTAGTTTCAAGGAATTTTTGTTGATGAAGAAGTAGATGATTGTAAGAGTGAAATATGGTGTGATTAGATTGTCTTTGATCAATAATGGAAACAAACTATAAAAAAGAAAGAAAACATGATTAATTCGTTTCGAAATATAAATAATCGGTAATGGAAAAAATTTTGATAAACGAAATTCAATCAGTAAAAATTGTTATCAAATCGATTCTAGCCACATGACCATGCAGCCAGAATCAATCTTGACCATCTTTTCGGTCAACGAATAAAAAAATCAGTACCCCTGCATTATCATCATGAGAATTTCGTTAGGTAGTAGGATGAATTATTATATAGTTTTTAATTGCTTTCGAATTTTACCTGAATGTTGAAATCAATGAAAACCAAGTGATCATAAACTTATAACGATAAGTAAACAAAATTAGTGCTCTAAATAAATATTTTAAACGAAATAGAATTAAAAATAGATAGATTTCGAAAACACACAATCGATAAGAATCAGAATATACATACACATTGACAAATAGAATGGTTTTTTCATGTACTTGAAACGAAAACAAATAGAATGCCATTGACACGGTAAACTAAAAAAAACAATGATTAAATTCGTTGTTGTAGTTTTTGGGTATAATACTTACCAGTGAAAAGTTCAATTGTTTCATTGTATTCTGTCGTAATACTAAATAGCAACTCGGTGATGAAGCCAAAATTGTCAATGTTCCACTATGAAATGAAAGAATAAATTTGATTTAGAAAATGAAAATAAAAATTATTACAAACCTCATCCAGGCTAATTGATCTTCAGTAAAATAATTTTTAACCTTAATAAACACCGATAAACAGTACCAAAAATTTGAAACTTTATCTTCATAGATTCCACGATTTAATGGAAAAATACGGCGAACAACTTGCAAGATTGTATTGAAATCTTCAAGATATGGAGACCATAAAATGACCATTGTTATTATAACGGCTAATGAAATTATTATGAATTTCGAAATTATCGATAGAAATGATCGTCGATTGTAACAACGTTTCAAGAGGAAAAAAAATATTGGCAATGAATAATACAAAGCCATTTGTTTGTAATTGAATGCTAAACAAAAAAGAATCGATGCTAAAAAATCTTGTCGTTTAGTCAAACAAATCACAGTCCATAAGAATAGGCCCAATGCAATACAATTGTATTGAAAATGACCATGATCAATGAGAATGAGACTAGGAATCAATAGATTATTTAAAAAATGATCGGAATCACTATGATATGAATCGAACAATATCATCCAATAATAGTATAATGCGCTGAAAAATATTAACGAATCGCTGACTAGAACTAGAAAAGATTTTAAAAAATGAAATGAATTCTAAAACAAAATCCTGAATTGACTTACCTGTTGATCGCATGAAAATTTTATGATCATAGCTTTCAAATCCACGAGATTCATTTAATTGAATCCATTTAGGATTCAGATAATTGGCGCTATATATATGGAGATGAAATGAAAAAATAAGAATATTTGAATCACACATTTTTTTTTTTTTGTTTAGTAGTAAAAATAATTACATTTTTCCCATTAAAAAACTATGATATGCGGTTAATGGTGGATAATCAAGGCCCCAATAATTGAGATCATTTTCTGTTGAATTTGTATACCAATCTTTAACAGGAATATTAACAGTTATTTCCATCCAATGTCGTTGTGCTTCATAATCACCAAACATTGGAGCAATTCCATGGCCAGAATATGGCCACAATGATACCAAATAACGAATTAATAAGGCAATTAATATATAGAAAAATGTTGTTGCAGCCATATTAGTTTTTGGAAAAAAATCAAACTTGATGATGATGATGATGATAATGATGATTCAAAGATGAGTCATTAAACGAAAAAAAACCAAGCTTCAAAGTTTCGATTCGAATGACGAAATATTTGTTAAATCGAAATCGAAAATCATTGGCCAAATTTAACCCAAATGGACACATGTGTGTATACATAAATTCTAATATATGCTGCCATCTATAGGTACAGAATTTGTATCAAAGAAAAACGATGCTCTCTTGTTATTTTGTTCGGACGATGATTTTTTTGTAATGAAAATTTATTTTGAACATATTCTACAGCGGTTCATATTTATCAATATGTGAGATCATTTTAGCTGAAAATTCATCATTTATTATTGAAATTTGTTGCTATCATAATTCTCTTGTTGTTATTAGCCATAGTGAACCATTTTTTTTTATCGATAATTATTGGAAATTATTTGATCCATTGGTATTATTGTTGCCAATATGTTTTTACCACATCATCATCATCATCATCAGATTTATTGGCCTTGTACTTGTTGATTGTTCATCATTCATTGTTTTGATTTTTTTTTCATTGACCAACATTTTAAAAAGTTATCTTGATGCCTGATTCCGGTTCTTATCATCATCATCGGCGAAAAATGAGTTCAGAAGATGAAAATTTCGATGAAAAAGCACAACGAAGAATTATTGATGCAAAAGTTAAAGCTCGTCCTGGTATGCATTAAAATGAATTAAAATATGAAATTTTAAATTTAATTTTGTCGAAATTCAATAGAGCTTGACATGTGTGGATGGACAAAATTTAATCATATTGAAAAATTTGATCTTAATTATCGGCCAGATAATTGTGAACGTATTAGAATTCATCAAGTATCTACCGAAGAATTTATTGCCAAATATGAAATGAAATATCGTCCAGTAGTCATTACAGGTGTTTGTGATGATTGGAAAACTATGGAAAAATGGAATCTTGAGGTAAATTTTTTTTTTCATTTTGATAAAAAACTTTTCCAAATTCTATCTATCTTTATAACTAATAATGATATCAATTCTGCAGAAATTGGCGAAAAAATATCGTAATCAAAAATTTAAATGTGGTGAAGATAATGAAGGCTATAGTGTTAAATTGAAAATGAAATATTTTGTCCATTATATGAAAAATAATCAGGACGATAGTCCATTATATATCTTTGATAGCACATTTGGTGAGGTAATTATATAGATTTCAACATTATTTATATGGATTTTCATTATTAATTAATTAATTATTTAAATTCGACATAGCATCCACGTAAGAAGAAATTACTTGAAGATTATCAAGTGCCAGCTTATTTTCGTGATGATTTGTTTAAATATGCTGGTGAAGAGAAACGTCCACCATATCGTTGGTTTGTGATGGGTAGTGCTCGATCTGGCACCGGTATACATATTGATCCATTAGGTACAAGTGCCTGGAATGCATTAGTGATGGGCACCAAACGTTGGTGTTTATTTCCGACAAATACACCGAAAGAACTTATTAAAGTGCAACCAAATGAAGGCGGCAATCAAACCGATGAAGCAATCACATGGTTTTCTGTGATATATCCACGAACTCAAATGGATGATTGGCCAAAACAATTTAAACCAATTGAAATTATTCAAAAAGCAGGTGAAACTGTATTTGTGCCTTCTGGTTGGTGGCATGTTGTGCTCAATCTTGACAATACGATTGCCGTAACACAAAATTTTTGTAGTTTAACAAATTTTCCAATTGTATGGCATAAAACTGTACGTGGTCGACCTAAATTATCGGTAAAATGGCTTGATAATTTAACAAAACATTTACCTGAATTGACCACCATAGCTCAACGTATCGATCTCAATCAACCGACTGGTGTTGCATCCGATAGTGATGATAGTTCCAGTTCAAGCTCAGATTCTGAATGTTCAAATCCGGATTGTAGCTGCCGGAAATCATGCAATTCGGATAATGACAATAATCGCAACAACGATGATGATGATGATGATGATGATCTCCAAATTAGCACAACGAACAAATACAAAAGGAAAAGGTAATTGAAATGATGATATAAATTGTATAAATTGATTTTTCATTTTTTTCAAATAGATATCGATCGACTAGTGTGTCAAGCAATGAGGATAATAGCAATAAATAAAAAAAGGTGATATACATCCATTGGCCAATCATCATTGACTATTAAGATTAGCATGAAATAATTTAACAAATTTACCAAATTTCGATTTGGTTATCAATACTTTCATGATCAAAAAATTTGCATCGTGAGGATCAGGTTTCATTTCGACAATGGCCGACGCTTCACGATATAGCCATTGATATTGTTCACCACCATTAGCAACTCTGTCCATTGTGTTTACAAAAAAAAAAAAAAAAATAAATAATTATTTTTCGTTTGATTCGCACAGATTAATCAATTAAATAAAGAATTATTAATTATTATCATTTACCGCATTTCAAATGCTAATCGTTCGGTATTTTCAATAAGACCTTTTTGTATTTGTCTGGCCAATTTATCTAAACCGATTCTTTCAGTAGCCGAAATGGCTATATGCCATCAATATTGTCGATTGGAATGGATAATTTGTCCACTTTATTCGATACTTTTATCATTGTTTGTAATAATTTTTCTGGAACTTCAATCTCTTTTAATGTTTGATGTACGGTGTTAATTTGTTCATAACGATTAGGATGACTTGCATCGACAACATGAACAATAAGATTTGCTGTACAAATTTCACGTAATGTTGAACGAAAACAATGTACCAATGTTGTTGGTATTTCCGATATGAAACCAATTGTATCGATTAACAATGCTTTCATTTTGGATGGTAATGTTATTTGATGTGTTGTGACATCCAATGTGGCAAAAAGACGATCTTCTGGTTGAAGGCTAGTATCATGACTTAGAGCTTTGATTAATGATGTTTTGCCGGAATTTGTATAGCCAACCACAGCTACCGTTGGTATTTCCATTGTTGTACGATTTTTTCGTTTAATCTCATAAGCATTGGTTACCGTCGATAAAGATCGTTTCAAACGAGATTCTCGTTCTTGTATTATTTGTTTTTTAATCTGATAAAATGTATCGAAATTTCCACCAAAACTTTTTGAAAATGAAAATTGACTAAAATCACATTCTTGTAAATGATGTAAATTTTTCTTTACATATTCTAATTCCGCTAATGCTAATTGTAATTTAGCTTCTTTAGTTGAACATCGTTCACGAAATATTTTCAATACGGTTGAGAATCGATCATAGACCTAGAATATATGTAAGAATATCAAGTAAAAGAATGTAATTATTTGTTTCTGTTTCATAACTTACTTCAACATCGAAAAAATTACGAAAAAAATGATGTTGTCTTGGCCGCAAAACATTGATTGCAAAAACAACAGCATCCGCTGATTCCTGTCGAACATAATCACGAAGATGATTTCGATTTGTTGATCCGAAAATTTTTTCAGAATCAATCGCACTGGTCGATATCATATGAGCGCCAACAACTTTCCAATATGGAATCGTTTTGACCAAAGTTACCGTTTCATCAAGTAATAGTTGGCCATTTTCATGACTTCTATAAAGATCACCTTTTTTCATTCGAGGCATAATGACAACAACATTTTTTGGTGATAAATCCACAAGAAGATTATATTGAAATACATCGTTCAACAGGTCATGATCATCATCTTGATTACTATCATTCATAGAATCATCCTGATGAATTGATCTACATTGTATGTGGTGATTATTATGAAAAGATGATGCCAGAACATTGTAGAGAATTTTAGAATTTAATCTACCAAATGAAATTGATGATAAAAATGGAATCATAATTAAAACAAGAAACAAAAAACAAAAAACAAAAATTGATCTGAATTTTGAATGCAAAAACTGAAATAATCGATTGTATCGAATAGAAAAAATCGATACCGTCATATTCGTTTCGCAAAATTTTATATTCAATTCAAACAGGTTTCACTCAAAAGAAGCACAATAAATGTTATCACATTATGTGATGTGATTAGAAAAAAAACATCATGCATCGATTAGTTTAGTCTATTTTATCATCATCATCATCAATATTAATATATAAAAAAATACTCAACCATGATATGAATTTTTATGCATAAACATGGTATAAAACCATTTTACTCATTAGTTTTCATTAGTTATCATATCATAAAACATAAAAATATATATATATATTAATGATCAAACATGTTGCCAGAAAATTTGGTTCAACAATTCAATGATCTTGGTTTTGAAATTCATTATTTTAAGGTATGTTAATTTTGTTTTTTGAATTATTCAAACAACAATGATGAATATGTTTACGTAGATCAGTTGGTATAATGATGCTGTTGCTTCCGAATATTTTCTTCCATATCCTGATGATGCATTAGCATTTGTTGTTCTATCAAATCCATCATGGTTTGAAAAATCATTTTTGCCATTTTTGGCCAACAATTTGGATCCATCCATGATGGATAAAAATGATGATCTACCTGAAAATCATAGCTGTCTTACAATGAATTGTCGTGATCCAATTGATCAATGTATGAGACATCATTTTGATATATTAGCCAAGGTTAGTTTTTCATGACTTTTAAAAATATTGATTCAAAATTCGAATTTTTTTTTTACACTTACATAGGAAATATCATCGACCTTGAATACCGAAGTGGATAAGATTCATGATTTTGAATTACTAATGCCATATCGTCGTCCACGTGTACTTTTACAGACTGCTGCTCATGTTTCCGGTGCAGCTTATTATTATCGATTGCCAAGACGTGATAAAAACGTACATAAACTTGGCCTTTGTATACATCCAGAATATGGTGGTTGGTTCGGTCTACGAGGTGTATTTGTTTTTAAACAAATATTGGTACCGAATTTGGAACGAAAACCGCCAGCAAACGTCATACCTGACATTATGCAACAGGAAGCATTACTCAAACTATTCAATGAACGTTGGCGTGATGGTAGTTATAGAGATTTTATACCGGTAAAATCTCGTTATAGTGACTTACAATTCAAATATTTCAGTTTGGAACCACGTCAACGTTTTGAATTTATTCGTAAAGAAATTTATCCAAAATTGAATGAATTAATATCATCGCCATCATCATCAAATGAATTGAAAAATTGTGAAAAATCCAATGGCCATCATTGAATTGAGTTTTTTTTGTATTGCAACAACAACATATGTGTGAAAAATGAGCCAAAAATTCTTGATGTATCTCTTAAATAAAATAAAAAAAAATACTCATAAATTACACGTAGAATATATATACTGCATGTGAATCCAAAGAAGAATTAGAACCGAAAGCAACAACAACAACAAAAAAAATCCACTTATCTTGATCATCGATTCAAAAGAATGTTTGTTGTGGGTTATTGACGTCATTTGATGATAACTATGTACATGTGCGTAGGCTTTCGATGGTTTTTTTTTCTTTGAAAAATGATTTAGATATCGATCGATTGATCGAAATAGATTCAATTCGAATATATTGACATAGACAACAACAACAACAACAACAACAACAGCACAATAAAATAAAAACGGAAAATTTTTTTATAAAAATCGTTGGATCATTTTTTTTCACTTTTGTTATTATCATTGTCATCACTATTATGATTGATACTTGGAAAAAAAAAAAAAAAAAGGGCCATCCTTTTTTGTAATGTAATGGGCTCACGATTGATTGATCATGATGACTATGTGTGTGTAATATATATGAAAATTGATGATTCGAATCAATCATCATCATCATCATCATCTGTATGAATGAGCCCATCAATAATTGAATTGACAAATTTTTTCAATTTGTTTCTAAAAAAAAAAAAATAAAAAATTCCCGAGAGAAAAATAGAAAATGAATGAATGAAAAATTTTTGTGAAAAAAAAAAAAATAATAAAGATTCATACCAAACGCCAACATTTGAAATTGGATTGAATTTTTTTTTTTCAATTCATTAATCGATTGACAATTTTTTCTTTTGATTCATTCATCTTTATTTGGAGAGAAAAATAAAAATATTTTTGAATGAAAAAAAATGAATGAATGAATGAACAATATTATTTAATAAGCAGATGATTTCATCATCATCAACATCAAATGTCAATTGTTTTGACAAATTTTGTTTCTCAAAAAAAAAAAATTTGTTATGTGTGAGATTTAGAAGAGAAGGTGATCGATCCAAGAAATAAATGTATAATATATATAACAAGCACAAGAAAAAAAAAATATCCATTATTTATATAAATATAGAATGAGAAAGATGAGAGAGGAATAGATGTGATTTGTGTGTTATGATGATGATGATGATGATGATGATTTGTTTGATTATTTGATTTTTCTTTTCATCAATATTTTTTTTTATATAATCTTCAAGGATCAATAGAATATTCATTATTCATCATCATCATCATGATCAATGATTGTAGATAGAATTCATTCATATTTCACAGTTATAGATAGAAAAAAAAATGATGATGATGATTCGAATTTTGTCATTATTGATGTTGTGTGGGCAATTCGTATATATAGTAAATATATTCTGGTGTAAATAGTGAACATTATCATCATTTTTTTTCAAGATTAATAATGTGAAAGCCGAGATTTTTTTTTTTGTTTTGTTTTGTACCACCATCACCAGTCTTGCATACAATTCCGTCGTAAACATTTTTCGATGTGTGTGGGTGGTGTGTATGTATGGATAATGTGTAGAAAATATATATATTATACATTATAAACATGTTTTTTAAAAAAAAAATCTCACTTGATTTGCAAAAAAAAATTGATTTTTGTTGTTTGTTTGTTTGTTTTTTTTGTCAATAATTAGAATATATTAAGGCAATGTTTAGGTTGTTGTTGTTGTTGTTGTTGTTGTCGTTGTTTTCTTATTAATACGACGATGATGATGTTGATGATGGTGAATTATTCGTTTGATAAATCAATAATTTAACTTTACCATGTACATTTTTCAATATATCAACAACATGATCATGTGGTAATCTGGTCACATCAATATCATTAACAGCCAGTATTATATCACCTTCATTTAAACGGCCATCAATCGATGCTTGTCCATGATCAAATATTTTTCTGATACAAATTGGTAGATTACCGTGTATTGATCCATAGCCACCAACAATACTGAAACCAAGACCATCGGGTCCTTTTTCAATTTCGATTTCTTTGGTTCTATACAACAACAAATCATTTTTGATTTTTTAATTTTCGTTTCAGATCAATGATGATGGAAAATCGATTGCCATCGGCATCATATATAACAATTATTCCAGGTAACAATAACAACAACAACAATATAAACGGTTATTACGTTGATGATAATATAAAGATAAAAAAAAAAAAAAAAAATAGAATGAGTGAATGGAGAAAAATTAACAACAAAAAGAAAATTCCGAAAAAAAAGTTTCCAAATACAAATGCAATGAGCTAGAATTATTAGGATAAATTCAAACAAAAAAAAAACGGATGAAAATAGAAAGTCAATATTTGAGGGAGAAAAAGAAAGAGAGGGAGAGCAAGAAAATAAGAATTTCATCAAAGAACAAAAAAAAATAAAATTGAAAATTCAATGTTCAAATGAATCCCAAAACACACACACCATACCTGACGAAAGAATCCCTTTTGTATGAATGAATGAATAAATTTCCACACACACACACACAATTGAATAAAGAATTTGGTAAGCAATTTTTTTTTGTTTAAATTAGAAAATAAAAATTGATGAAAAGATAGTAAAAAAATTGAAGGCAAAAGAAAGAAAAATAAAGAAAAAGGCATAGAATTAAAAAAAAAGTTTTTTAAAAGATAGAAAAAAAATAGAATTACTATATAATAACTTACTCATCGGAAGTTAATTCTTCATATTTTGAATTATTCAAATTTATTGATGATGATGGTGGTGGTGTGGTGGCTGTAGTGCTGATGATGATGGTGGTGGTGGTGGTGGTGGTGGTAGTTGGCCACATTTTAATCGTCCAATTTTTAAATTTATCATTCCTTTGGCCGTCTTTTATTAAGAAAAATAATAAATATTGATTGATTATCAATCAAACAATAGTGGATATCTTACTTTGAGCAAAAGTGCAGCATCTTCAACATTGGTCAAATCACGTCCATTCACTTTGATGATTTGATCACCAATCATTAGATGGCCATCAAGATCGGCAATACCACCTTCAACAATATCTTTGATATAAATACCATTACCATCACGTCGTACAACAATGGATAAACCGAGACCTTTTCCAGGTTTTTTCGTTAATTTTACATCAAAAATTTGTAGATTCTCATGTTGACTAATAAAATCATTATTATTATTATTATTTGCAATGAAATTGTCATGGTTTTTATCACGATAAATTTTCATTTTTATAATTGGTGGTGTTTGTCGTAATGCTTTGATAGCCTGTTCATGTGTAGCATGACGTAAATTTTCACCATTTACTTCCAATATTTGATCACCAGGTTTTAGCCGGCCATCAATATATGCTGCACCATTTGGATATACTTCATGTATTATCACAGTATTCTAGTTAAAACAAAACAAAAAAGAAACAAAATGAGAAATTAATCACAAAATATTAATATCCGGATTCCGGAAAATCAGAAGAAATAAAAGAACCACACACACACACACACAAACAAACAAACAAAAAAAATCAAAACACACATACCAGAGGCGTATCAGATCCACCAACAATACTAAGGCCAAGTCCAATTTTTTCGCGTATAATTTCAATAGTTGTCTCTTCACATAAACGTACGGGACATGTTTTATAATCATTTGATGATTGTTGCAATTCATTATTAATGCCTGAAGCTAATGTTGTTGATGATGATAATGATGTTGTTGTTGTTGTTGTTGTCGATATCATTGTTGCCGTTGTTGTTGTTGTTGTTGATGATTTTATTGTAATTAACTTTTTATCATCATTATTAATAATGATATTAGAATGTATTGGATGAAATTGATTCAATTTTTGTATTTTTTGTTGTTCTTGTTGTTGCTGCTGCTGCTGTAATGATGATGAATTTGTAATATTCATTCCTGTTGCTGCTGCTGTTGTTGTTGTTGCTGTTATCGTTGTAGCTGTTGCTGTTGGTATCGATGAGGTGGTGGTGGTGGTAATAATCAGATTAGAATAACAAGATAATGAATCAATTATTTTGGCAGATGGATTAGGTTTTTGATTCATATTTTCGTGCATATTAGCAATCATTATTGGTGTTGGTGGTGGTGGTAGTGGTGGTGGTTCAATAATAAAATTATTCATTTGCTGGTTATTATTATTAGTTGTTATTATAGTATTGTGGTAAAGATTTTTACTACTTAATAAATCTAGATTGGATAATGATGATAATGGCACAGGTGGTGGTGTTGGTGGTGGTGGTGGTGGAGGATGTGGTGTAAATGATTGTGAAATATGATGAGAATAAGAAGGTGATAGTGATGGTGGTGGTTGAGGTTGATTTGGTGCATTATTATTAATGATTGTGCAATTCATTGTATCATTATTATTATCCATAGACATATTTGAGGTTTCTGTCATTGTATTATCATTATCATCATCATCAATATTAAATTTTGTTGTATTTTCTATCACATTCAACATACCATTCGTATGTTGTTGTTGTTGTTTGCTGTTGTGGTAATAAATTTGGATCATTCTGATGGTGTTGGGATGTGGTGCTTGTTATATCATCAGATCTAAATGCTGCTGCTGCTGCTGTTGTCGTTATTGATGGAGATTTTATCGATTCATTTTTATTCATAGACACTATATATATAAAATATACATGTACAGAATTAATATAAAGCAAAAAAAAAATTATTCAACAAACAAAAACAGAAAAAAAGGTGAAAAGAGATTCGGCATACATAATAAGCAAGCACAGTGCAATGTTTTTTCTTGTTTCATTTGGAAAAAAAATTCTGCCCATGCATATTCTGGACATAAAAACCAAAACAACTAAAAATCTCCACCCACACACATACACACAAAAATGCTTACCTTGGATTTTATTCGACTTAGTATGATGATGATGATGATCGGTTAAAACATTTGGGCTTGTTGTTGTTGTTGTCGATAATGATTGTTGTTCATATGGAATTAATTTTATCGGTTTAGCAATCACTAATGTCAATAATCCTTCGGCACATTTCAATGCATTAGCAGCCTATTTTTTTCATCATTTGAATATTGATTTTCATTATTCGTTTTGTTTATGTTTTTGTTTTCAAAAACATGAAATAAAATTCAATGGAAAAGAGAAAGAGAGAGAGAAAAAAAACAAGAAAAAAGTTAATTTTTTTTTATTTAAATTACTCAAACACTAACCGTTTCATAATCGGCACCAATTAGATCGATATGATTTACACACAAAATCATATCGCCAACAGAAAGTCCAGCATTTTCGGCCGGGCTACCATCCTGTATATCGGATACGAATACACCACGGCCAACATCTGGCCTTTTTCCCTCGATGATCATGATACCTAAACCTTGTGTTGCCTATTTGGTTTTTTTTTTGTTTGTTTGTTTTCATTCGATCAAAATACAACATTACAACATTGAAATATTGGTGAACGAAAAAAAAAATAACATACCTTTCTAACGGTAATGGTACGGACACCTTTAAATTTACAATATTTTTCCTCAAGAAAATCTTCTAAATGGACGGGAAATTGTGTCAATGGTTTGACGGCCATCTCAGCTAAGGCACCATCTCTTCTGTATATATAGTTGTTTTTTTTATTTGAATGAAAAACGAGAAAAAAAAATTTTTTTTCTTTTGCCCAAATAACAAATTCCTTTTTTTTACCTTAATACAATAATTCTATATGTTGGACAGGCTAAACTTTTAATGATTGCCGATGCATTTAGATGGCTACGTCCATATAATACAATTCCGTTTACCTACAAAAAGAGAATAACGAGAGAGAGAGAGAAAAAAATTAATGATTGAAATCGATGAAAAAAAAAAATAAATAAACTCAATCAACCGATGATGACAATGTACAGCAAAAAACAACGAATATTTACTATAGTAAAAAAAAATCAGACAAAAACCAAATATATACACACACACGTACACAGGTAATATAAACAAAAAAAAATGGCGAATCTCAAATATGATCAAAAAAAAAAAAAAAAACAACAAAACGATGAAGATCGTGTTTTGTTTTGTTTTGTGCACCAATATTTAATCAAGTTAATGTTTATTCACATTCACATTCACATTCACTAATGGTGGTCTGGCCATGGTGGTGGTGTATGTTTTTTGTTTTTTGTGGTTCATTCAAGACAAAAAAAAATTATTCAAACAAATGAAGAAAAAAATAATGACGGAAAAACACATGAATGCAACAACAACAACAACAGCGAGAAAAAAAAACAAATCAAATCAGAACAAAACCAAAATGAAATGTTGTTGTTGTTCTTAGAAATTGATGATTAATTCAACTAATAATCATGATACTAATAACCACTACTACTACTGCTACTGCTACTAACAATAGATTTATTATTCAATTAGGCTAATCTCATCTATATTCAAATTGTCAACGAAAAAAAAAATAAATTAATTAAAAAAAGTTAATTAATTGAATATATATAATATAACTCATTTCATTTCAAATATGAAAATAAAGCAGTGTCAGAATTTGGTAGTTTATTTTAAACATTACCTCAAGTATTTCATCACCAATACAAAGGCGACCATCTTTATATGCGCTACCTTTTGGATGCATACCACAGATAAAAACGCTCATTTTTTTACGATCACGATTACCGGCTAGGCTAATGCCAAGACCAGCCATTCCTTTATGTAAATCGACCAATATGGTTGTTCCATCAATATCGGCATATTTTTTACGAATTTTTTCTGTACACAAACACAAAACAAAAAAAAAAAAAAAAATCATCATTATATAATCAATAAGAAAAACAAACACAGGAAACGGAAAATTATAAAAGATTGACAATTGGAAAAAAATTTAACAAAAAAAAAATCTAAAAGAAAAAACAATCGATTGATTTCAATCGATTGTTTTTTCTTTTTCACCCTTCTCTTTATCTCTTTAAAAACACATTTCAAATCGATCGATAGAATCGATCAATTGATAAAAAATAGTGTGTGTGTCTTTATTATTTTGATAAAAAAAAAAATTTGAAAAAATGTGTTTACTTTCATCATCCTCATCATCATCATCATCATTGACAATATTATCGACATTGAAATTATCATTATTGATGATGTCATTATTATCACAACAAGCATCAATATCATTCATCATTATCATTATCATCATCGATAGAATTTTTTCTATTTTGATTATAACCGGTTGTTGTTAAAGTTTTTTTGCTGTTGTTGTTGTTGATTATTATTATTAGAATGACTAAATCGAATATTCGTCGCCGTCGTCGTTGTTGTTGTTGTTGTGGATGATGTAGCAGTAGTTGTTGACAATGTTGTCGTTGTTGTTGTTGTTATAATTGATGATGAATGTTGTTGTAATTGATGGTTATTATTATTATGATCGAAATCGATCTTTGTCATCGGTGTTGTTGATGATGATGTTGATGTTGATGTTGATGTCGATGATGATGATGATGACATTGATGACATAGCAATCATTTATTTTATAAATATAGATTTTTTTGGCCGATAAATAATATATGATGATGGGCAGTGGTATTGGTGGTGGTGGTGGTGGTCGAAAATGTGAAAAAAATTTTATTAATAATCGATCAATCATTTTTATCATGATCATATATATATATTGTTGATTTATATTATGATGATGATGATGATGTGTGTGTGTGTATGTTTGATGTTAATTAATAAGATCACTTGATTATATCGGCTTTAATTTAGGCGCTGTTATTATCATCATCAACAACAGTTGTAAATAAAAAAAAAACAACAGATGATGAATTGAACCAAAAAAAAAAAAAAAAAAAAAAAATAAAAAATAAATTTAAAAAAAAATGAAAACGAAAAATAAAAACCACACACACAAACTAAATCTGATGACCTCTCTTAGGGCATCATAAATAGTTGTTGATTTTCAAAAATTCGATACGAAATTGCCACACACACACACACACACAATTCACAAATTTCATACGTGACAATTAGTATAATTAGTTCAATTATAGATTGGTGGCAATCTATCGTCCTGTTATTGTTGCTGCTGCAGATGAATTTCATTTCATTTCATTTTGATTCAAAATATTACACATCATCATCCATTCGCCAATCTCATCTTATTATTACATTTCGGATATTTCACAATAGCCAATTGGCCATTATCCAAAAGATTTCGAATGATTTCATTTTGTTCAATGTTCGAACATAATTTTATTCCAACAACACAACACACAACAGAAAAATTTAAAAATGATAATAATTTCAACACTTCAAGTGAAAATAGCTGTCACCTATATATGTGTGTGTGAATGACATGGCATATTAAATTGAAGAAAAAAAATCAAATTTAAAATTCGGCACTTGAATGTGTATAGCAAGCAGCAATTGGTGGATAAAAAAGGCTTTTTTTTGCTGTGAATTTTCGTGTTCAACAATTGTGATGATTTGATTTTGGAAAAAAAACGACAACAACAACAACACTGCAGTGTAAAGATTTTGTTTATTTATTTTTTCGGTTGTCGATATCGATGATTTTCAGAGATCAAAGATTTGAAAAATTCAAAAATTTTCGTTCAATAAAACAAAATAATAATTTGAATTTTTGTGATGAAAAGTGATTTTTGAAATAAAAAAAAATTCGATTCGAATCGAATCGAATCCGATCCAATCGGAACCGACGAATATTTTTTTTCTTTCTTCTTTCATATACAAAACATGACGCATTATTATTATGAGATTCACAAATGATGATAAATTTCAATAATGAGAGAGGCCCTACTGTTTTTGTTTGTATGCGTGTGTGTTCGGTGTCGTTGTCGGTGTCGGTTCATTTCTTGAATGAATCAATGAATGAAACAAACAGCCAATTGAGAATGAGCACAAATTTACACCACCACTCTCAAATTCGTCTATTTCGTTGTCGTTGTCGTAGTCGTCAGTTTGTTTTTTTTTATTATCATGCGATGATCAAACGATGATGATGATGATGATAGTGATGAAACTTTGATAGAATTCCGATTGTTGTTGTTGTTGCTGCTAATATTGTAGCTAGCTATACACACACACCAAACACACAGAATACAAAATTTTTTTTTTTTTTTTTTTTTGAAAATAAAACTCATAATAATACAGCAAAACAACAAATAGTAGAAATGAACAACAAAAAAAAATTGAAAAAATGTGTCGGTATCTCTCTCTCTCTCTCTCTCTCTCTACATACATAAACACACAGACACATACACACACATAATGTTTAGATTCATTTCATTTCCTTTCTCTCTCTCTCTTTTGTTTGGGTATATATACCCTCTCTCTCTCTCTATATATTGATTTGTCAATGGAAAGCTCAATGGTTTTTTTTTCTTTGAGTTTGAGCATTATGAATCTATTCATTGCGCCATTGCAATTCTTTTATTCTGCTCTCAATGATGATGATAATAATAATACTTGTTTATAAGAAACTTCAAAAAAAAGAAAGTTTTTTTTTGTTCTCTCCATTGAGAGAGAGAGAGAGAGAGAGAGAGCGAACGCATACACTGTAGAAATTTTTGTGTTTTTGTTTTGAATGGTGGTGGCGGTGCGATGTGGGGATCGAATAGATTCGCTTTTTCCCCTTTGGATTGGATTCGGTTTGGTTTGGTTCCATCATCATCATCATCACCACCACCACCACCATCGGCCATCAATCCATATATTTTTTCACATCAGACAGAAAACATTTGAAATTCAAGTAGCAGCAGCAACAGCAGCAGCATATAGTTCACGATTGATCCATACACAACAACAAACTCTATGAATATCCGAACAAGAAAACTACAAATATTTTTTATTTTCAACAAACAACCCCCCAAAAAAAACTGGAATAAATTCTGTTTGTGTGTGTGTGTGTGTGTGTGTGTGTGTATGGATTCAAGCCTTTTATTTCAAACAAACATTATTACATTTTTATTCTGTTAGATAGAATTGGTTTTATTTATTTTTTGTTTTCTGTATTTGTTTGTGTGTGTTTGTTTGTTTCGTTTGAACTCATTCATAACCCTATAAAACATACATTCATTCATTCATACATCAAAACATACATTATCCTCTTATATCATTCCTGTTGTTCATTCCATATATTCACATTCACCACATTCCAGTACATTTCATGCTATTATTCATCATCATCATACATGAGACAAAAACATTCTGGATTCTTTTTTTTTCTTTTATTCATTCACAAACACACTCATCCACCTCCTCTTGTCATTCATTCATTTTACCAGAATCCACAAACACTTATCTAATTCATTCATTCATTCATTCATTCATTCAAACACACACACACACACACACAGAACTTTCCAAATTCTTATGATTAAATAGATAATTTTCATCATCAATATTGGTATGAGTGATAGAAAGAGAGAAAAAAAGTTTTTTTCTTTATCCATTGGATTCTTGAAAGCCTTGAAATATCAAGAATAAAAAATGGTTATGAATGAAAATGAATGAGTTATGAAATGAATTATTATTGTCACACACACACACACACAACAAACAATCTGCTCTTGGCCTTGTCCTAATTCTTGTTGTTGTCACAGTTTCATTTTTATTTTTCATGCTTTCTGTCATTTTTCATTGTTTTTTTTCTTACTGCATCTTTAATCATTATCATTTAAAAAATTGGTTACAAATTAATCGATTATTGACAAACGAAACTATCGGAATAATAATCGATAATTTGAAAAAAAAATTTATTAAATTTACACAAACACACACATATGTGATCAATATGAATCGATGCAAATACACCAAAAAAGATATCAAATCACAAGATGTATTAGATAACAAGATGTTGTCGGTGTCGTGTTGTCAAAAAAAATGAATGAAAAAGTAAAAATAAATAAAAAAAACCGTCCACACATGATGTAATGTAATAAAGTTATCATTTCAGTTATTTTTTTGACTGTTTTAAAAATCAAAATAAAAAAAAAATACAAGAGGGGTTACATGAGCATGTGTGTGTGTGTGCGTGGGTGGATGGATGGATTCTATTTTTTTTTTTTTTTTTTTGGTTTCCCAAACAATTAATTCCGGTTGGTTGATCATTGAAAATTACTATTCAGTGGTTTATTTTGGGAAATAATAATCACAAACGTTCGGAAATGAAACGAAATGAAAACATTTATTCATTCATTCATTCAGTGAAAGATAAGAATTGAAATTGAAACTAAAAAAAAAAAAAATGTCCGAATTGACCGAAAAATTCTCAAAACAAAACATACTGATTGACAGCCATAAAAATGAACAAAAACAAACGAAATGGGAAACCAAACAATAATTTCCGGCAAATAACCAGAAAAAAAAGAATAAGATAAAAATTGATGAAATGAAAAAATTTTTTTTTTTTTTTTCAAACAAAACAAAATACAAGGGGTAAAGTTTTTCAATTTGATTGATTTCTATTTCATTCATATTTGTTCGCATACATTTTTTTACGGGTTTCTCTTTTTTTTCCTTTTTATTTATTTAGTTCTATTCAATTGAATCGAATGTAGATGATGATGAATACGACAATTATATACCATATATATAATATACAGCTACAGAAAAATTTTTACTTGTAAGTGAATGCTAAAAAAAAACAGTGGGTAAAGAGAATCAAAATCAAATTTCTATGGCATTTTTTTTGGATCAGAAATAATGATTCACACACAAATGTAAATAGAACGAAAAATAAAAAATAAAGAATTATATGGTGAAAATAAAACAAAAAAAAAAACAAAACGAAAAATTCCTATAACTAAATATTCTATATATATGTAGTCATCATCATCCGTTTATTGCAAAAAAACAAACAAACTACACAACCATCATCATCATCAGCTTTCCGGTCAACATTATTATTATCATTATCATCACGATCATCAGAAAAACTGTCTGTGTGTGTGTGTGTGGTGTGTGTGTGTGTGATCTGATTGATGGAGAAAAAAATATCGATAGTATTAGTAGTAGTAGTGGAATTGGTTTTGTTTATTTTGAAAAAACAAAACCAATTCCTCACTATCTCTTTCTTTTCAGAATATCAATCAATCCATCAATGGATCATCATCATCATCTCAAGAAATGCAGCATTCATTTCATTTTAAATTCAATTAAAATAAAGCTTGATGGCCAGAACTCTCCACATGTGATCACATTACATTAGATTGCACACACACACACACACACACACAGACAGGAATTTTTTCCATTTATTTGTTTCTTTCTTCTCTTTAAATTGTTTGTTTGTTTTTTTTTGAATCAACTTCGATAGTTTTTAATGGCAACTGATCATCAAAATGGTATTTGGTAGTCAATAATTTCTCTCATTACATATATGGAATGATTATAATATATAGGTCTGTTTTGTTTCATTTTGATTCCATCATTATTCAAGTTGTTGATAATAATGATGGAACATATAAAATAAATTACAATCACGTAAAAATAGAGATCATCATCATCAATGGTCAAGATTTTGTTGATGATGAAACGTAAATGAACATCATTGAAATAAATGGCCAAATGTGGTCAGAGTGGTTATATTCTTGTGTATGTGTGATACAACAACAACAACAACAAAGAGAATAAATGGAATTTAATTCAAATTGGATGATTATTATTACACAAAATAAAATATGATGATATTACGGTAGTGGTGGTGGTGGTGGTAGTATTAATGATGATTATTATTAGGAATCAAAAAAAAAATATGAAAATTTCATTGATTAAGATATCGAACAGAAAAACGAATGCAATCACATTGCATTTTCAAAGGTTTTTTTTGGTTTTATATATATAGAACTATAAATCTCTTGATCCTTTTTTCTTCATCATTTCCATCAACGTCATCATCATCATCATCATTATTAACAAAATTATCAATCATATAATCTGGAAAATCCTAAAAAGTTTGATGATGATTTTATTGCATAACATTTAATTCGAAAGAAAATAAAATTAACAGTAACTGGGGAAAAAAAGTTGATCTATTCTAGTCTTATGACATTACTTTTTTTCAGTTGATTTAATCAGAAGTTCACATTGTAAACTTTACAATAACAAAAAATAATCAGAGAAAAAAAATGGTCAAAAACGTATCATGTAACGTATGTTACGACAGGTCCATGACCGCCTAGGCAAAAAAAAAAAATTCAAATTCAAATTATAAATATATCTGGATCAAACAAGAATTTTTTTGTTCTTGTTGATTCCGGAAACAGTGTGCCATAGTTATGACACAAACATACAATGAAAAACAAAAACGAAACCGGATCACTAGTATAACAGCAAATGATAATAATAATAATGTTTCCATGGTTTCTAATTACTTTATTTCTTTCTTTCTTTCTTTATTATTATTATTAATCTTAATTGGCAAACAAACAACAACAACAACAACAACAAAAAACACAGACAAAAGAAAACAGGGTAAAAAAAATGTTATTCGCCAATTCAACTGCCGCTGTTTGTTTGTACATAAGCTTAAGATTGCTGCCGTTGTCGTGTTGTTTGACCAGAATAAAAACTAAAAGAAGAAGAAATCAAATATCGACAATGACCAAATAAAATGGTGAAAGAAAAAAATAAAAAACGAAATAACATCCTGATTCTTTGTTGTTCATCATGCTAGGATTGTTGTTGTTGTTGTTGTTGTTGCTGGTGTTGTTGTTTGCCGATGTTTCCAAACTAAACAACAACAACAACAACAAACCAAATGACAAAACCAGTAAACACAGACTAAATAACATTTTTACAATGACAATAAAATAATAAAGGAGTTATTATAGACGAAAAAAAGAAGAATAATAAAAAAATAACAAGAAAAAACTAGGCCAAAATATACCAAAATGAAATCGAAAGAAAGAAAAAAAGAAAAAACAAATAACCAGTTTTTTTATATCAAGGGGATTCTTATTGTGGTTATAGAATCCATGATGATATGAATGTATAGTGTGACATTTGAAATATGTAAAAGGAACCAAGAACCAGAATCATCCATATCCGTAGAAGAATAAAAAAAGAATCATATGGATTTATTGGAAATGAAAAAAAACCACAAAATCCTGAAAACAAACAGAAATTCTTTCTTTTTCACATTTTTCATTTTGGTCTTTTTTTCTGGTTCATAAAAAAAAATTATTTTCATGGATCATTTAATAACAAAAAAAAATGAAAGAAATTGTCAAACAAAAGAAAAAAAAAACATTCAGACAAACTAAATGAAATGTATGTATCAGTAAATGGTCAGAATGATCAAAATTAATCGGATTTTCATTCGATAGATAAAATATAGAAAAAAAAAAAATAATAATGAAAACTTTGTTTTTTTAGAATACAAATACCGATGCACCGAAAAAAAGGTCCGTGAAAACAAAACAAAAAAAAAAATTCAAGGATAGAACCACTTTTATAAACAAACAACCCAAAACAAAATAAGAATGAAAGAAAGGCAAAAAAAAAAAAGATCAAAGGTGAAATTCTGTATGGATTCTGTAAACAAGTAAAAGAAAAAAAAATTATGTTTAGAATCACTCCGCGTGTGTGTGTGTGTGTGTGTGTAGTCAACATTTAATGGCTGATGATTCTGTCAGAATCAACATCAACATAAGTGAATGGAACAAAATTGTAGGAAATTGGAGCAAGCCAAAAAAAAAAACATTTTTAGTTTGATAGAGAATCCAGACACACACACACACACATGATGATGATGACACAAAAACATTTGGAATTTCCGAGTTCAATGTTATTATGTTATACAAAGGGAGAGGGAATGGGGAAAGTAAAACATTCAAAATGTGGATCAAATAAATACAAACATAGTATTCACATATTTCAAAAACAAAACAAAACAAAACAAAAAAAAAAATCGTTATATAGAACACACTATATGAACTCTCAGAATGAATGAATCAGTGCTATAGGAAAAAATAAAAATCAGAAAATCGAATCAAACCAGGCTCGAGTAAGAAAGTAGGGAGGAAGGGGGAACAGAGTGGAACCAAACAGAAAATAAAAACTTTTAGCTTGGCGCCAATTTTCTTTTTCTCACTAAATTCGTTCATTTCATTCATTCATTTTCCATGGAATAATATGCAATAAAAGAGAGAAAAATATATTCAAATCAAAATGACAATGGGAAGTAAAATGAAAAAAAAAATTTCTTTCCTTTCATTCATTCAAATGTGTTAATGTATTCTATATGAAAATGGAAATGAATAATAATAATAATAATGTTTAGTTTAAATGTTTTTAAAATGTAAAAAAAAATTTGAATATTCATGTTGCGTGTGTGTGTGTGTGGGAGGTGGAAAAGAATATTCTTTGAAACAGAAAAAATTAATGAATTTGTTTGTGTGTGTAACGATAATGAAAATTACCAGAATTGAAACAACAACAACAACGACTACAAACAACAAACAAATTAATAAAAAACACGACAATTGTCATCGTTGTCGGTTGTTTTTTGTTTTGTTTTGTTTTCACTGCTTTAATTTCAAATAAATTTTCATGGAATTTCTCTGGAATTTTTTTTTTCTACACGTTGATTTCGTTGCTTTTTGTCGCTTTTATTGCTTTGTAATTTCTTTTCTTCTTCATTTTCTTTTTCAGGATTTGTTTTTTTTTTTTTGTTGTACGAGAATCATTGCATCGAATAAGATTGGCTTAATGAGGTTGGAATATTGTGTTTGTTGTCATATGTTTGCCTGCCAAAACACTTTGTATATCACACACACACATACAATACATCCCAATATAATTGGAACAAAAAAAAAAATAGTGTGACCAAACATTGATTGAAAATGAAAATCGAATGCAAATGTAAACTTTTAAAACATATGCCCAATTTATTTATACACAGTCTGATAAACATGAGAAAAAAATACACTCGATGAATCAAACTGATCATTTTTTTTTGTTGAAAAAAAAATGAAAGAGAAGCTAAACATTAAACAGAAACATATAAACAAGCATCATTGATTTCTATCTAACCTAAATAAATTAACCAACTATACCATACACTATATTGAACTTGACTAACTTGACTCTCTCTCTCTTTTTAAATGTCAAGTGCAAATCTATATATGCACAAAAAAAGATTCTTTAGGGCATTAATAATGATATACCATGATGCCAATATATTGATGATGTCATGTGTACTCAGATTGTTGAAGAACTCATAAATGAATTCTTCATGTGTGTGTGTGTGTGTGTGTGTGTGTGTGTGTGTGTGTGTGTGTGTGTGCTCACATGTGACAAATGTACATTTTTTTAAAAAAAATGAAAGAAAAATTCATCAATGTGAATTTGACAGTAGAAAATGTGAGTCTAGTAAAGAAAAAAAATGTCTAAAATCTCTTTGAAAACATTTGTAAAAGTAGGAAAAAAACAACAAAGGTAAACGAAAAAATTCTTTTCTTTTCTTCAATGTTCTAGTGAGTGTGTTTACAGAATTTCAGAATGAAATGCAAAACACACACAATAAAAATTTTTTTTAAAAGTAAATGGAAAACTTTTAATGGAAATGAATTCTTTCTACTTACTAATGGAATAGCCATATTCATCTTCAATAATGTCCTCAGGCAATGATTCATCAATTTCCTGTTGTGTTAATGGAATATTTGCTGCACTTGTTACAGAAAATTTTTCATCATCCAATGTTGAATTCGATGATGATAATGGTGGTGGTTGCAATGATTCTTTGTCAATTGTTGATGATATTGATGAAATTGGATGATTAAATTTTTCTGTTTCTTTGATTGAATTGATTTGTTTGATAGTTGTTCCATCATCACTATCATAATCATCATCATCAACGATACCGACAAGATTCATGTCGGATTCTTGTTCATTTGTTGTTGTTGTTGTTGTGAATGATGAATGTGAATGTTTTTGTGTAGTTGATGATGATGATGATGATATGATAAATAAATGATTTGAATCTATAGTCAATTCATCTTCATCTTGTTTTTGGCATCTGTTTGTTGCAGTTGTTATTAATGTCGATGATGGAAATGGTGTTGGTGATGATAATGATGATTTTTCTTTTTCATGCTCTTCATCACTATGAACATTGTCATTAAAATTTACGAGATTATCATCATCATCATCATCATCATTCACATATGTAAATGATTTATTCTTGTTGTTGTTTTTATTCAAATTAGAACATGGTGATGATGATGATTGTTCATTGATTGATAGCTGTTGTTTTGTTGATGAATTGGATAATTGTAAATGAATGATATGTTGTTGTTGTTGTTTATTCTATAAATGGATCACATATCGATGATCATATTGAAATGGAAATGAATTAAAATTGATTAGAAGAATTTTTCACACAAAAAGCAACCAACTTACCAATGGTAATAATGTTTGAATAAGAAATTTTACCGGATTTTTGGCTTTTTTTATTACATCAACAGCTTCATCATGTGTTGCCAGTCGTAGATCATTTCCATCAACTTCTAATAAACGATCACCCATTTTCATAAGGCCACATTTTGCTGCTGGACTATCAGGTAATATTTTCTTAATCAATATTCCTGTCAATATTGTTGCAGCTGCTGTATGATGCTGATGATGATGATGATTGCCATTATTATTCGTTATCATTTCTTTTCCACCGATAATGCTGATACCGAATCCACTATTTTCATTACGAATTAATTCAACAAGAATTTCTTGTCCCCATTTTCGTTTAGAGATTGACGATGATGATAACGATGTTATATCATTCTGTACAATCAATTTATCAGTTGTCGATATTGTTGCTGTTGTCGTTCGTATTTGATTTAAATTATTTTCATTTTCATAAATTTCATTCTCATCACCATCGTCATCGTCGTTATAATCTTGTTTATCAATATCTTTTGAAACAGAATTTTGAAAATTATCATCATTATTATTCTTATCTCGACAAATGTATGTTTCTACATTGAGAATATTCTTTTTTGATGATGACTGATGATCATCATCATTTGATGTAGTTGTTGATGGAATCATAAAATCTTGATTCTTTTCCCGGATAATTCTATAGGGACAACGAAAAAAAAAAAAAGAAACAACAACAGAAAGATTTAAAATCAAACTACATCGGACGAATATATTCATGTAATGAACTTACGTTTCTTTTTTTCTATTATCGTCATCATCATTTTGGATCATTTTAGCCACAGAATTTCGATTCAAATCCATTGTTGCTGTTGCATTTATCGATGAACAATTGAAATTCGATGAGCGTAGCAAATTTTTATTAGTTTTTAAATTTTCATTTCTATCTTCCGAAAACGATGCTGATGATTCGTCTATTTTTTCATCATTATCATCATCATTGATTCTCTTTTATTATGACCAGATTTTTTTTCATTCAAATGTTTATCATCATCATCATGCAGCTGTTGTTTTTGTCGTTGTTTTTGTTGTTGCTATTATTTCAGGTTTCATCGTCGTTGCCAGACATTTGGCAATCTCTGATTGTGGTATGTATTTGATTCTGATGCATATAAATATCATGGAGAACAAAAAAAAGAGAAGAATATAAATAAGTAGTAAATTGGATGAGGGAATATGATTGAATAGAATGGAAATAAATTTGATTTGATTGGAGAATTTGGAATGGAGAAAGGGAGAGAGAGAGAGAGAAAAAACAAAAAAAAAGAGAATTAGTTTGAAATCGAATTGTTGAATCGAGAGAATAGCAGAGAAAAAAAATTATAGAGGATTAGAAATTTATGAGATGCTGTTGTTATTATTGTGAAATCGAATTCTCTTTTTTTTTTGATTGAAACATCTAAATATCATACATACATAATATCATCATCGTCAATATCATCATCATTTTTTGTATCGATTTTACATCGTCGTATTCGTTGTTGTTGTTGTTGTTGTTGTCGTTGTTCACAATCATCTAATATGGCCAATACATCGGTTTTCGATAATCCACGTAATGATTTACCATTCAATGTAACAATATAATCACCAATATTAATACGTCCATCTTGGTCAATGACACCATTTGGATCAAGACTTTTTACAATATAACCATTTGATGCATTATCGGCCAATGCTAAAACCATTCCTATTAGAATGAATGAAAAAAAAGAAGATTTTGAATGAATAATAAATTTGAAAAAACTCTAGAAAATTTCAAGGCTTTTCAATTTCTCAACTATTTCGACCATTTTGGTTCTTGTACTGATTTGTAATGAGCAAAAAAATTTTGTCAAAAAAAATTGAAGATTAAAAGGAAAAAATGAATGAATGCTTCAAATAAAAATTCATTGGTCAAATAAATAAATAAATGTTTAAAGTAGCAACAACAACAACAACAAAAAAACGATCAGAAATTTTTTGTTGTTGTTGCTGACAGTTCAAACAAGCCGCATGGGATTCCATTTGGATTTTCATTTTTCAAATCTTGGAATTTTTTTTTTTTGAAACATGAATGTCTTTATCATCATCATCATCATAATGATGGAATGAATCAAAAAATGAAATTTTAAATTTAAATTTTGATTTTTTTCAAAAACGTGGCACGAATAGTAATGAAAAAAAAAAAAAAATAAAATACAAACCTAGATAATAGGTGGTGGTGGTGGTTGTATTGGTGTTGGTCCTATTTTTATTATTGGTCAAACGTATCGTTCGTTCCCATGTGGTTGGTAATAATAATCTTGATGATGACGATGATGATGTAAAATTATTATTCAACGTTTTACATTGATTATCATTCATATAGTTGATCGATGATGTTAACGTTTTCGTTGTTGTTGTTGTTGTTGATGCTGCTGCTGCTGTTGTTGTTGTTGTGAATAATTATTTTTTGATATGTCGTTTTTGTCATTCGAAAATGTTGTTGTTGTTGTTGATGATGATGATAGTGGTAATATCATGGTTGTCGTTGCCGTTGCCATACAAGTATTTTCATCATCATCATCATCATGATCAACAACAATATTTGATGGTAAAAATTTTTCACTATAAATATCATCTTCTGTTGTTGTTGCTGTTGTTGCTGCTGTATTTGTCGTTGTATTATTCATCATCATCATCATCATCATCATTGATGACGATTCTGTCATTGTTGTTGAAATTTTATCCTGTTTATTTTGTAGTTGTTGTTGATGATCATTATCATCATGTTTTTCATTCATCATATCCATTATGCCGTTAGCATTAATATTTGTCGTCGGTTCGTCGTTATGTTGTTGTTGTTGTTGTTGTTGCTGTTGAGGCACCAATGTTAATAATAATCTAGCATCCATCATATTTTGTTTTTCATTATCGATTTCATCATCATTGCCATCATGATCATCATTATAATTATGATGAATGTCAAGATCATCATCATTAACAATTAACAATGTTTCTTCGTCATCCATTTCGGTGATGGTGGTCGAATAGTAATTTTCCTACATTATTCAAATAAAAAAAGTAAAGAAAAACATTTGATAAGTTTTCAATCGATTCAATTGTGTGTGTGAAAAGTTTGAGTTTTCATCTTGATCTTCAATTAATTAAATTCAAAATTGATTCAAATCTTTATATCAAAACAAATCATCGAGGAAATCATCATTCCAAAATAAAACAAACATTCGATAATCACAATAATCGATGAATTCGTTTGTCACTTTTTTTTCAAACATCGATTGTCGAATTTTTTTTTTCTTTGATCGATGATGATTCGAACCCAACTAATAATAATTGCATGCATCGAATCATCATGAAATTATGAGCGAGAGAGAGAGAGAAAAAGGTCTTTTTCCTTGTTTATGATGGCAAGTTTTTTTTTAAGATCATCGGGTGTGTAACTGTTTGTTTGCGGGTGTGTGTTTTAATAAGCAAACATAAAAAAAAGGAAAAAACGGATGTAGAAAGAAAAGAAAGAGAGAAATTTGTGATAAAAAAAATTGTGAAAACACACTCGACTCGACTCGATATATATATTATATATACCAACAAAGTTCAAGTAAACGAAAAAAATTCGTTTTAGTTATTTCAATGCAAGTGCACTATTTTTTTTTGTTTTGTTTTGTACATTTTCATGAACACACATTATAATAATCGATAAATGTTTTTCTGCATCCAGATTTTTTTCCAACAAAAAAAAAAACATCGATCGATTAACAGTGTTCATGATAATGACATGAGTGAATGAGTGAGTGTTTAGTCATAACAAGCGTTGACACGTGATATATACCAGTGATATCATCATCCATCATTTATCCATCACTTTTGGATTCATCAAATTCTATAAGTTGCTTTTAGAAATTTGATTTTTTTTTCTACCTATTTATTTTCATCATATATAATTTTATATATGGTATAGATCTGAATTATATGATGATCATCATCGATTGGCTGCTGCGCCATCATCATCAAAACGGATCGAATTGAAATTGATCGGTTTTCACCATCATCATTATCCTTTTAACGAATCGATTTTTCGTTGTTTTTATTTTTGGCTGAATTTACCATATGTGCTTGTGTGTGTGATGACTTGAATAGGACCACAAAAATTAAATGAATGGAAAGAGTTATTTTTTTTCGTTTCAAATTTTTGGATCGGTGAATTTGAATTTCTTGCGATGAAAATAATGACAACAATAAGCAGAATAAAGATGATGATGATTGAATCGGAATGAAATTCAGAATTTTTCTTTGTATTCTTTTTTCTTTTGTTTGAAAATTGCAAATTTTAAACTTTAAATTGATGAATTCATTCATTCATTCATTCATTCATTCGTTCAAAACATTATTCGCTCAAACGACGAATGAAAAAGAAAAACTTGAATTTGCAGAGTTTTTTTTTCGTTGTCGTCGTCCAATTATTTCAAGAGAGAAAATTAAAATAAATGAAAATAACTGATAAGAAAGTAAGAAAAGAGAAGGAAATAAAGTTTTTTTTTCTCTAATCGTCGTCGTCGTCGTCGTCATCGTCGTCGAACCGAAAACGGAACACACACACACAAACATTCGAAAAATCATCATCGATAGTTTGTGATGTGATGGACGAATACGATATATAATGAATATATCGAATAAGAAGAATTCTCATGTTTCATGTATACAGAAAAAAAAATTTTTTTTTTAACGAGGAAAATTAGATAAAATTAATTGGAAGCAATTTTTTTTTGCGCGAGCACAATGTTCATCATCATTATCATTATCATAATTATCAGTGGGGACAAGTCAATGGGAAAATAAACATGGGTGTGTAATGAAATTTGAGAATGTCGTCGCGCGCGCAGGAAGCCAAAGATAACAACGACAACAACAACAAACAGCAACAAATAGACAAGGAAAAAAGGAAATAAAAATGGAAACATTTTCGATTTTTTTGGTTTCATTTTTCATCAAAAAAATTTTCTTTTTTTTGTTTCTTGAAACAACACAAAACCCAACAAACACGCACACACACCCACACACACACACAGAGAGAGAGAGAGAGAAATTATCGATGAACAAAGATTTATCAATCAATCAATAAATATAAAATAAAATAATGAAAGAAAATGATTCAAGATCAACATTCGATATAATATAATATATAAACATTTTGGTATAATTATTATCAATTTTTATAATTAATTTTTTTTTCAAAAAAAAAGTTTAGGAAAAAAAATAGCCCAGCAAGAATGAAATAAATAGTGTAGTGATAGTGATTTGTTTGTGCGTATTGTGAAATGGGAAAGAAATATAGAGAGATAGAAAGATAGAGAGAGAGAGAGAGATAGGCGTTCGTTGTCCATCATTTGATCATGATCATCGCGAATCGCTCACCTGTGTAATTGGATCGTTGTTATTATTCTTGGTTGTTGATAATGATGATGATGCTGCTACAGCAGCTAAATGTAATGCACTTTCCGGTAATGGTAATGGTTTTGCAACACCGACAATAACGACACCTTTTGGTGCTCCTTTCAATGCTTGTACAGCTTTATCGAGGCTTGCATTCTCTAGATTTTGATCATTTACAAATAATAATCTATCACCAGGTAATAGGCGACCATCTTGTTGTGCAACACCACCCGGTACAAGGCTACGAATCACAATGACCGTATCATTTGGATTCATTGGATCCTGGTTATGAAAAATGATTGATAAAAGAATCGAAAATTAGATGAAATGAAAAAATCGGTATTTTTTTTCTTAATTTACCTGATAATCTAGAATGCTAAAACCAAGGCCACGTTCTCCTTTCATCAATTTAATCACCTGTGGTTCATGGCTCCACATTGCCAAACCGGTGAGTGGTTCAAGTGAACGTGAACGAATTTTCGATAATTCATTACTTGATACATCATCATCAAGACCAGTAAATGTACCGGCAATTGGTGTTGTCATCATTGCTAATGAACCATCTGATTTGGCTTTGACTAAACGATCAATAAATGATGTTGATGTCATTGGTGATGGATCCAAATGATGATGAAGATGTTGTTGCAGATGGACCTGATTAAATGATGATGATGGTGAAAGGGATAACCACCATCATCACCACTACCAACAGTGGTAGAGATTGTGGTATTATTAAATTTGGCAATATCAATATTTGATTGTTGTGTTGTTGTTGTTGTTGTTGTGGGCATTTGGACGACGAAAGGATTTTTATTATTGATTGTAGTTGTTATATTGTTGGCACTTATTGTTGTTGTTGGCTTTGGTCTAGCACAAACTAATTGTACTTCAATAGGAAGATCTTTGAGCAGAGGTAGTACATCTGAATGTTTAAGTCCATGTAAACGAATACCATTCACCTAATCATTATCAAAAAAAAAAAAAAAAAATAATCATGCCAATTAGAAAAAATATCCACAAAAAAAGATTTAGAATCAAAATGATTTACCTCCAGTAATTCATCATTTTTCTGCAATAAACCATTACGACCGACAGGACCATTCGAAAGTATTGAATTAATATAATGATGTGGACGACATTCATTACCATTTTCAATATCGATTACACCTTCAAGACTGATACCAAGACCACCATCATGGCAGAATTTTGTAACGCTTGCAATCTGTTGAATCAAAATGGAAAAAAATGAGTAAAAAAAAAATTCATTTCATAATTAAATCAATCAACTTACAATGATGTCGAAATCTGGTCCAACAATTGCTGACCATTTTTCACGTAAATCATTCGGTGATCGATGTGCTAACGAAGATGATGTTGATGATGATGGAACACTTGTTATTAAATTCATTGATGGTGATGTACTATTATTGTTGTTGTTGTTGTTGCTAGAATTAATCTGAATCACTGTTGGACCACCACGAACCGTTGTTGTTGTTGTTGTTGTTGTTGCTGCTGCTACTGCTGTTATCTGTTGCTGTTGTTCGGCATTCATTACACCCTGCTGTATTTGATCATGATATTTTGATCCTTTTATATAACGTGCTAATTTTAAACGAACAATTTTCCCAGTATTACGTAATAGATCAACAGCTTGTAGATTATTATATCCATATAATGAACGTTTATCAACTTCAATAATTTGATCATTTATCTGTATCATTTTTGAACGTTCAGCAACACTTCCTGTTGCAATACTTTTAATGAATATACCAGAAATTTCTTCAGCAACTATAACAAAACAAAACAAAACAAAACAAAACGAAAAAAAAAAAAAGAAAATTAAATAATCCACGGTCATTATTATAACTTTGAATTGAAAATATAGAAAAAAACTTTTCTATATACATACCTTTTTCACAAACATAACCAGCAATAGTGATGCCTAATCCTTGTTGATCTTTAATTAATTCCACTTCGAATGTTTCCATTTGATCCGATTGAAATTTTGGATCATTAGTTGAGCTTATTAATATATCGGATACATTGGCAACTAAATTATTATTGTTGTTGTTGTTATTTGAAAATTTTAAATTATTATTATTATCATTAATATGACGATGTTGTTGTTGTTGTTGAACATCGATCATATTATAATCATTCGATTGTTGATTAAAGCAATTTATATTCTCTTGATTACACTAATTCAAATAGAAAAAAAAGAAGAAAAATCAATAAAATTGTACAAAATGGATGAAAATAGAAACAAACAAACCTGTTGTTGTTGTTGTTGTTGAATGGATAATAAATGTATCTGTTTTTCAAGCTCAATTGGATCATTAATTGATTTTGTTGGCACAATGGTCAATGTATTCTGTATGACTTGTAAATCTAATGATGGATCAACTGGACGTGCAACAATCAATTTAATATGTTGGCCATTTGTTTGCCGAAGTATCTGTGCAACTTGATCCGATGACATGCCACGCATATTGACACCATTGATTTGTAATATATGATCACCAATTTGTAATCGATTATCCTACATTTAAATAAATACGGTGAATATATGTGTGTGCATGGAATAAAGTTTTTTTTTTTGGTTTTGTTTTGTTCGGTTATATATATTGTTATATAGACAACGAAAAATTTGATTTTTTTTTCGCTTATTTTGCAAATGGAAAAAAATTTTGTTACCAGTGAAAGACAATCAAAATTTCATGTGAATTTCAAATTTTGAAATCAGCAGAAAAAAAATAGAAAAAATGTAAATGTGTGACACAACACGGTCCACCTACCTTAGCAGCTGCACCGCCTGGTATAATGGTTTTGACAATAACACCCGATGAACGGCCACCAACAATACCGAAACCTAAACCATTTTCATTTTCTTGATCCAATTCGATACAATCGATTTGTATCCATTCAGTATTCAATACCATATTATTATCGTTATTACAATTGTTATTGTTATTATTTACAATTGATGAATTATTTGATGATGATGAATCACTTGCATTGGATGGTGAACGTTTTACATCTGATAATGTTGTTGTAATTTGTTTTGAATTTGTTGATTGAGCTATAATGGTCGTTGGTAATGTTGTTGTTGTTGTCGTCGAAATTGATGATGTTTTAACATCATCGATAACATCGTTGTTGTTGTTGTTGCTGTTGTTGGTATTTGGACGTGCAACAATCAAACGAATAACACCTTTGGCACTTTGTAAAATATTAATGGCATCTTCATGTGAAAGATCATTGGTAAATAGATGACGATCAATGGCCAATATTTGATCTAATGGTTTTAATAGGCCACTTCTTTATTTATTTATCAAAATCAATTTGATGATGATGATGATTCAATCAATTTTATTAACATATATTCAAAGAGAGAGAGAGAGAGAGAAAAAATGCACAAATTATGAGTGAGACAAAATTTTCATTTTCAAAAAAGTCCATTCATCATTCACACACACACACACACAAATCACAAACAGGGTAACACACACACACACACAAGTGAATCACAAACAATCAAAATTCAATGACAAAGCTCGAGAAATAGACAACAAAACAGAAATATATTTTTTTATATAATCAAACAAATGGAATATATCGATCCATATATATATATATGAAACATAAACACATATAAATAAATTGAAAAAAGCAATCTTGTACCTCTCGTAGCATTTTCAGCAAAAAAAAAAAAAAACAAAATCATAAAATCACAAATCACGAGGGAAAAAAACGCCCAACACCCACACACACACACACATAAAACACCAAAATTGAAAATTATTTGCCAAATTTCAATTCATTTTTGTTGTTGTTGTTGTTTATTACGAGCATTATGATGATGGTGATAAACCAAATAAAAATCATATAATAAAAATTTTCGGTAATGGCACACACACACACACGGATCCAGAAATCCAGCAAAGAAAATGGCAAAAAAACCACCACCACCATTCATTCTAAAAGCGCCTGTGCTAATCATCATCATCATCATCAACAACAACAACATAAATTTATTATCATAACAGAATCTGATAGTGAATACAAATGATGATGATGACCACCACCACCAACAACACCAACAACAAACACTATTCTGATGATTTACAAACAAACAAAAAAGAAAGAAAAAAAAAATAACACCGACCAACCAACTGTGTGTGAGAGAGAGAGAGAGGAAATATTCTACCGCCAGAAATGTAATTTGTGCAAAAAAAAAAATGACAAAAATAAACGAAACGATTACTTTGTTGTTGTTGTTATCGTTGTTATTATTATTATTATTGTAGCCAAAATAAAAAAAAACGTGCAAAACAGTGTGTTGAATTTATCGTTTCAAGAATAAAAAAAAACACACACACACACACATAATAATCATATAATGATGATAATATATTCTGGATAAAATAATAATAATGATGATGATGATGCTATCGTATAAGAATTTATTCTTGTATTCTCGAATTGAATATGCGCAAAATCAACAAAGATTCATATGGATTTAGACAGAAAACCAGAATCAAAAAAAAAAAAAAAAAAACCAAATACCACCACCATCATCATCATCATCATCAACAGAGAAATGTGCTCATGCACACCTATGAAATGAATCATTTTTTTTCTGGAACTGAAAATAAGTGTATTCTGACCAGAAAAAAAAAAAGAATATTGTATTGTATTGTATTTGGTATGGCTGTGTATATATATGGTAACAATACCGGGATCCACCTTTAGAATTTTGTGTGTTTTTTTTCTGGTACACACACACAACAACGAAAATTCCTATAGTTTGTAGTACAGAGAATAATAACCACTATAGTAGTAAAAAATACCGCTACTATCAAATTAAATGGGCGCGTGTTTTTGAAATTATATTATAATAACCCATTAATTCTAAACATGTATATATATATACAGACACATAGAGATGAAGAGACATATACAACAAAATTCAAGTTGTTGTTGTTGTTGTTGTTGTTATATCTCTGAATGTAAATAGAAAAAAAAATTATTCGTTATACGAATGATAATGATTCGATTCAATGTTATTTTTTTCTTTTCCTTTCTTCACCATCATTTGTTATTCGTCATCATACATGTGTAGGTGTGTCCGTTCGTGTGTGTGTGTGTGTGTGTGTGTATGTGGAAAGAGAAGAGAAAAGTTTTTTGAATATCACCGGATCTCGGATTCGAATTGAACACACACACACAGACAGTCATGTGCATGAATCGTATCCAATCACCATGTCTAGAAAAAAAAGTACTGAATATCGGAATCGACAGAAAATTGATGAAAAACCACCACCATAGACAAAGTTAGAATATAAAATGAAACTCTTTCTTTTATAGATGAAAAGACCTTCAATTCTTGTGTATGAATGAAGAAAACCAGAAACACTATCACTTTCTCTTTTTTTTTACTATATATATGTGTAATAAAATACAAATGTTTTTAATGGATTTCAAATACAAAAATCCAATGAAAATCATCAAAAAACAATAACAATTTGGGAAATTATTGAACAAAAAAAAAAAAAAAAAAAAACAGAAGAACAGGAATCCAAACAACGACAAGAACCAGAAAAAGAAATTCTTTTCTAATGCTTTAAAATATTTCCAATAACATCAATGTACAGGTATATATAGTGTCAATCAATGATGTGATTAGCTGGAAAAAAAAAAATAAATAAGAGAATTCGATTAGAGAAAAGAGAATTCTTTTCGCTTACATAATAATCATCATCAGAAAAAAATACAACAATAGAATGGCTCAATTGCAACGAAAAATTCTTGTACAAATTACATCATCATCATCATCGGCAACTATTCATTCTGTGATGTAAGAAAAAAAAAGTTTTCAAAAGCATCCACCACCAACACAAAACAATCAACAACGACAACAACAACTCAACCCAGAGACAAAGAAAGAGAATTGGAAAATTGGCAATTCATTTTTCGTTGTCGTCGTTATAGTTACTGGAAATAAATAACAACACATCAATTTGACACACCATTCTTCTTCTTCTTCTTTTTTTCAACAGAAAAATTTCTTCAACAAACACAAGCTCTCTCTCTCTCACTCTCAATTAGGTTTCAATATTATTTCAATGAATACATCGACCCACTCACATCAATCATCATCGATGTAAATTATTCAATGAAAACCCTTCAAAAACACTATATATTATATGTGTGGATTCAAAAAATTTCTTGTTCAAACAAGGGAAAAGGGAAAAAAAATATGAAACCATAATGTAAACACAAATTTTAACAACGAAAAAAAAAATTGATTATTGAGACAAAAAAAATCTGTCTCATCATCATCATCATTTGATATTCACGGCCAGCCTAGAAGAATGCAAAAAAAAATTCCATTCATTCTCTCTTTTCTTAGGTTTTCATATAATTTTTTTTTTCATAATTCATTTCGATAATGAGAAAGAAAGAAAAATACAAACTCAATCTATATATATATCGATGTTTATTCTATCTGTGTGTCTATTCTATCCGGGTATACGTCGGTTATCGTTCGGTATCTCATTATTTTCTTATTATTAATAATTATGTGGGCTGCACCCGAAGAATGAATGAAAGAATGAACACAACATGCCTTTCCAGCAGAATACACTCGTGATCAACAAAATGAAAAGAAAAAATGTCGATAAAATATAGGCCACTAGGGCCAGAAAGAATAAAACTAAGAAGAAAAAAAAACTCATTATCCAGAAAAAAAAGACACACACACACACACACACACTAGTGCAGACTAGACCTTTGAAGATAGAATGGATGAATGGTTAGATAACTAACTGACAACAACAACAACAACAAAAACAAGAATCTGATTGAAAATGAATGGGTGCGGCTAAATAAAATTTCAGAATTCAGAATCGGTTTTTTTCTTCTTGAAACGTGACATTAAGTAAACTAGATATAACCTTTTCATGTTTGGTGCACATTCGATAATAAATGAATGAATGAATGAATTTGAACAATGAAATATCAAATCATCAGCATGGTTATTAATGAATCTTTCTCATAACATAACATTATTATTTCTGTTTTCCAAATCGAGAATTTCCAGATAAATACTATAGTAATCGAATATTGGAGAACAAAAAAAAAAAAAATGTCAAAGATTCCAACTTTTTCGTTCGGTTTACGCACACACACACACACATAGACTTACCTTGCTGCGATTCCATTTTCATGTATCTCTTGAATATAAATTCCCAATTTTTTGTTATTATTTAGCATATCATCAAAATGATGGCCTTTTTGTTGTTTTTCCTGTTCAGGTGGTTGTTGTTGTTGTTGTTGACCATTCGAATTCGAACCAGAATTATTATTAGTAGTACCATTATTGCCAAATAATGAATCTGATGATGAAGATGGATGATTAAGACCAACAACTTTGAATCCAAGACTTTTGCCTTCTGGTTTATAAAGTTCAACAGTTTGTATCATACGACCTTGTGCTAATTCATTGATTCCTTTACGAAATGCTTCATCCTAATATTCATAAAAACAGAATGAAAATTAATTATTAAATCCTAATTATTAATCAAATTAATTACTTGTAATGAAATATTAACATAATCTGGTTCACAATAATCACGACCACCACCACTACCACCACCTATTGATGATTGTTCTTGATTATCATAATCATACATATATTGTTGTAATGAAAATTTTGATGGAATCGTACGATTATCATAATCAAATTGATTATTATGATGATCACCAATGCCTCCAACTGCTATCACTGCTTCACCTCTTTCATTATCATTGTTGTGGGTGTGTTGTTGATGATGATGTTTATTCAATTGTTGCTGTTGTGGTTGTTGTTGATTAATCGATATATTATTATTATCATCATTTGGTAAATTTAAATTCAACTCTAATGTTGTCGTATCAATATCAACATCAACGGGTAATATGGACGGATGTTGTTGGAATTGTTCACGTAATTGTTGTAATGAATACTATAGAGGAAAAAAAATCAATCAATCAATTCTGTTTACGATTCTATAATCAATTATTATTATTACCTGAACATTAAGAATTGATTCGAATACTGGACATTCAAGTACATCCAACAGGATACGTATATCATCTTTCAATAGTTGATGTGTTGATGATTGTTGCTGTCCAACAACATTGCCATTAAAATTAATGGATGATGTATTGTAAAGTTTTTCCAATGAATCTTGAAGTTTTTTAATATCTTGAAAGACAGAAATTGACAATTGGAAATTGGATTCGAAATTTTTTTTTCTAACTTACCGTTTACAATATTATTGTTATTGGTATTCGTCATCATTTTCATTGTTTACCACCGTAAATGTTCTAAATGGGGAAAAAATTCATAGATCAATAACAATCATTCGGCAATTAATTAATTTTAATCGATGATGAATAAATAAAAAAAAAAATTGGAATGGGCGAGGGGCATACAACAAAAACAAACCATGAAACTTGAGAAACACACACACAAGGTCCAACGAAAAAAAAACCGAGCAGAATCGATGTGATGATAATTATAAGACAAAATCGAAAACTCAATCTTTTGTCTTTTGTTTCACTGTGGGCCTAAATGAATTGGATGTTGAATGAATGAAAAAACAGAAAAAATTTCCACTAAATGTCAAAGCTCATTGAATGATGAATAGAATGGCAAAAAAAACAAAAAATAAATAAATAAACGAATGTATTCTGCATATTCTGATGATGATGATGATGATGACGATGAGAAGGGTATTTTCTTTACACAATTCTTTATTATTTTAAATTCTCAATCCAAACACACAGAATACCCAATGATGCCACATTATATATAGTAGATTATTGACCATTATTATTATATATCACTCATAAGCAGATATACATACAAGAAAACTCAGAACATTGGAATGTGGAATGTGTTTGTGCTATCATAAACTTTCTGAGAGAGAAAGACAGCGAGAGTAGAATGAAAGAAGAAAAAAAAAGTAAATTGAGCCAACACACACACACACACTAAAGATAGTATAAAATGACGATTAAAGCGCTATCAAACGGAATGAAACAGAATTATAATCGAATGCTGATGCTTCTTACCTGTGTAATGTGAATAGTTTTTTTTTTGGTTTTTTTATTATCATCATTATAAATATTGCACACATTTAATAAACACACATAGATGTAAATTACTTTTCTTTTTTTTTGTTCATCCATTATTATCCTATTAAACGAAATTCATCATCATCATCATCAGAAAGTTACAATGTTCTAAAACATTGAAAAGGTAGAACTCAGAATTGAAAAATTGGAGCAAATGAACAACACAAAAAAAAAATATTCGGTTCATTAATGGAATAAATAATTATTCTTTTTTTTTTTTGTTTTTTTTTTGGTAATTAGATCAAAGAATTTTTTCCGGTCATACCTCTGGTGATATAATAAAGAATTTTAAAGAATTAAAATGTTTCATTGTAACTAAGGGCGACATCTAGTGATGGTTAGGTTTAGCTTATTTTTATATCTAATCTAATTATTAATTTAATCAATGAAATTCTGTGATTGTAATTCATTTGAAAAAGAATATTCTTGATATGTTCAAATTGAAAAATGAATTCCCGGCAGCTTTCTGCTTATGCTCCGATGTGGTCTAATGGCTATGATTTCTGGCTCTCATGTGTTTCTGGTTCCTTTCGTATTTTGAATTGCGTTGTCGTAGCAATTCATTTCCTGTTTGCAGTGTTCCCAGGCGATCCGGGTTCGATTCCCGGCATCGGAGATTTTTTTTTAATTTTTGGCCATCTTTGTTGTTTAGAATTCCGATGGTTTTCATGCTTTTTTTTCTAAAAATTAAATTTTTGTTGAATAGAAAAAAAATCGTAACTGTATCTATGAACGAATCAAAAGCATGCACATTGCTGTCATCATATGATTCAATCGTTGTGATTTAAAAAACGTTCGATTTTTTTTTCAATCACAAAAAAAATGTTTTCATTATTATTACGTAAATCTACATCATCATTATTCTTGCCAAAATGTATGAATCAAGCAATAACCACCACCACCACCGCAGCAACTCGATCAATGAGGAACAATGTTGATCCTGATTCACATCCACAGCAACAACCAGAAACAATATTTCAGAATGTAAATTCTGTTATTGAATCCGGAAAATTTGGTCAAACATTCGCTGTTGTACATTTTTATGGTCAACAATATTTAATACATTTAAATGATATATTTGCTGTGCAAACAGCCATACCGGCCGACATTGGTGAACGTATCAAATTGGAAAAATGTCTTCTTGTTGGTAATGAAAATTTTACATTAATTGGACGGCCAATTTTAAATCGTGATCTTGTACAAGTGGAAGCAACCATTGTGGAGAAAACAATGACACAAACAGATATGAATATGTTTCATATACCACGTAAACATGGTTTTAAACGTTATCGTTTCAAACGTGAACCATTAACAATGTTACGCATTAATAATATAACCATTTGTCATCCATTGAATACGAATCAAAAACAAATCAACTAACTAATTAACTAAGTACTCACCATTGTAGCAAAGTTTCAACAACAACAACAACAACAAAAAACGAATGAATAAAACAAAATGTTTTTTTTTCAATCAAAAAATTATTTTTTATTATTACCATCATTATACTATGTGTGTTTCTGATTATTATTATTATTAAAACATTAAGAAGCGAAGAAATGAAAAAAAGCAAAATTTTTTTACAAATTACAAAAAAAAAGTGATGGGCGTATGTGCTGTGTGTGGGAGTATATGTGTGAATGGGAAATAATATCGATATTCATATATCGATGGTCAACTCAAAGATTCGAAAAACAAAAAAAAATGATGATTCTCTCTCTCCAATGGTGATGATTATGAGATATTAATTATTAAAGAAAAGATTCAGGATTCTTATTTTCATTTCATAATAATAAATTCAATGGCTGATTTTATTTGTGTGTGTGTTCTGTGTGTGTGTATTGTGTGTGTTCGATACAAAAATATTTCAATTAGTAATGATTGATGATGATGATAATGATGAGGTGTTTTTTGTTTGTTTGTTAATAACACAATAAGCCAGGATTATTATATGATATTCAGTCATATATATTTTGCATACACACACACACACAAAAAAAAAAAAATTCTTCAAAAACAAATAGAAAATCGTAGTTAATTGAAATGCTAAAATTTTTTTTGTTGTTGTTGTAGCATCATTTGTGTATGGTGGTGGTGGTGGTAGAGGTGGTGATTCAAATATAGCTATGATGATTATCATTATGTGGTTATAATTAATTGAATCGACTGAATCTGGTTTGGTTTAGGTATTGATTTGTTGTTGTTGTTGTAGTTGTTATATACACGAATAAATGAAAATTCTTTAAAAAGAGTAGTATTTCTTCTTTTAATAATATATTCTATTTACATATATAGAGTAGAATTAATAAAATGTGTAAAGTTATGGGAAAAGGAAATAATGGGGGGAGGCAGGGTGAGAGAGAAAAAAAAACGAGCAATCCAAGAGAAAAGAAAAAAAAATTACAACATGCAAAATTAAATTTTGATGAATTCAGGTAGAATGGAAAGGAAGAAAAAGCAATACAAAGAAATGGAATCTTTTCTGCTGTTCTGTTCATTCATTCAAACCGAACTGGTGGTGGTAGTAAGCAAAGGAAATGAGAATATTCTTTCTTTGCAACAAAAAAAAAAAAAAATGTATGTATGTGTATCATCATATATGATTAAAGAGAATATGAGTTTTACAAACAACACAATAAGCTTTTTTTGTTGTATTTCAATAATGTAAATGTTTTTGGGCAAATGACATACATATGTGTGTGTGTGTGTTTATTTATGTATTTTTAAATTTAAATTATTTAACAAAAATTTTATAAAGAAATGAAAATGTTGAAAGTGAAAAGAGAGAGAGAGAACGAGAGAAAGAAAGAGCTCTGCATTTAACTTTTTTTTGATAATTAATTGTGTGTTTATATGGTGTAAGAAGAAACAACGAAAAAAAACTGGGGTGTTTATGTGTAATCTTGATTCTTTTTGATTCAATCATGATTCTTGATTGGGTTTTTGTTGTTGTTGTTGTTGTTTTTCAACTCTTCATCGGGATATGATCCATTTAGTAATTTTCTTTTTGTTTAATTAATTTTACAATTATCAATTTCATATTTGCATATTATATGGGTGTGTGATTATATATTGATTTAAAGATCATCATTTCTTCTTCTTCTTCTTCTTCGTCGTCGTCATCATCATCATTTAAATCTTTTGTACTTTTTCACCAATCACTTGTGGATTATTTTTACGAATCTCTTCAGCGCCATATTCTTTATAATCGAATGTACAATTGTGCATTTTGGCATAACGATGCGTACCACAAAATGATAGACCACAACGGCAATCAAACCCTATTATTATTTATTTAAATAATTAGTCAGGATTAAATAGATTCATTTATAAAAAAAAACATACGGATAATGGCAAGCTTTTCACGACAAATTGGACATCGTAATTTTTTCTTTTTTTGCTGTTTTGTCGGTGTTTCATCTCCATCTTGTTCATCAGCACCAATCGAGGTATTATTTTCACTAGTCGTCGTCAAATTTGGCTGGTCTGTTACCTTTGCCTTTTTATTTGTAAAAAAAAAAAATTACAATTACAAAAAAGTTCAAATCGACAATTCAAAAAAATTACCTCAGAATTTGATGAATGGCTAGAATCTTGAGCAGATATCGCAGATATATTCGAAGTTGGTGATGAAGAATTACTTGTAACAATGTTACTACTACTATTATTATTGTTGTTGTTATTATTAATCGATGATGATGATGCAATCAAAGTTTTGATATTATCGGCTGCAACATTTTCTAGGCTTGTTTGAGATGATGATGATGATGTACCATTCGTTGAGGCAGTTGTGGTGGTTGGTGCAGCTTGTTTTCTTTTCAATGCATCTTTATAACATTTAGAGCAAAGGCCATCATTGGATGGATTGCCATAGAAACCACAACCAGACCTACACAATGCTGCACTTTGTGACATTTGATTTGGATCGCTTTCCATTTTTTTTTATTATTCTTTATTTATTTCAACAATCAAAAAAAAAAAAAAAATTGAAGCCAAATGAAATGAATAAATAAGATATATTTGTATGAGAGAAAAGTGAGATAAGATTCTTTCGTCAGCCAATGCACACACACACACACAAGACAGCTGTAATGATGAAAATGAATAAAAAAAAATTAGTGATATCCAAAGAATAAATTAAATATATAAAAAAGATTAACTGTAATAGATTTAGACGTTTTTGCAAGTGAAAAAAAACAAATTTTACAACAAACAAATGCAATCGATTGAAATTTTTTTTTTGTTCTTCTATCCAAGCAAACTACACACATATATACTATCTCTATGGCTAAATATGTTTCATTTGATGGCCGTCATTCGTCGTCATGATCGATATCAGAAAAAAAACAACATAGTCGACACACACACACAAACAACGACAAGGAAAATCCAAAATGAATGCTTAAACACACACACACTCATAAATAAAAATACATTCACAAGAAAAAAAAAGAAATGAAAAAAAAACACAAACAGCAGCAGCAGCAGCTACATATTTGATGATGATAAGCAGATTGATATTCGAATCATATTACAATTCAAATCAACCTATGATGATACAGTTGAATGATGATGCTATGCTATCTGCTACACACAAACATCAAAGACGTGACCAATGTGTTAAGGACAAAAAAAAATTTACTTTGTGGCAGTGATGTATAAACACAACACATTCAATTATATGAATTAAAACAAAAAATTTCAAGTCACAAGAATACAGAAAAAAAATTCTGAAGATTCGAGCATAAACTGAATTAGAATTTTGCAAAAAAAAAAAAAATTCAAATTAAAAGTTTTCAATATAGAAAAAAAAGTTTAATCAATGGCTTTTGTATGGAATAATATAATATATATATATACACATCACCCCCTTTATAACTTTTATACTCATACATACCATTACATTGTATACAGAAAAGAATTGTGAAGCCTTCTACATAATCATCATTTCACACACACACACAAACACAAACAAAAGGTTCCTGGATCATAATCCAAAAACAAGTCTTAATGAAAGAAAAAACATCAAAAAAAAATAATTCACTTAATTCATAACAAGCGATATGCTCACTATACTAAATGATGATTATCATGGACATGAATGAATGTACTCAGTCACAGTCAGCAAGCCAAGAGCCAAACACAAACAGAAGAACCAGCTTGAGATATAGCCAGATGAAATCATAAAGTCGAATGAAGATTAGAAAAGACGAAAACAGCGAAAAAATTTTTCAACAGCAGAAGCAAATGGCAACGAAAAGATAATAATGACGACGACGACGACGACAATAGCAGCAATGATAGTCATTCATTCATTCATTCACAATCGTTGTCAAGGCACGTACCAAAAAAAAAACACCAATTCGTCCAACAAAAAACGAACTGTTTTGTGTGTGTGTGTGTGTGTGCAAAATAACGATATTGCAACGTATATAAACTACGTCCTACTCCTGGTTAGCCCCTTATGTTTTTCAAAGAAAAAGAAAAATCTTCCTCTTCATATCCCACACACACACACACAACCACCACCATCACAAAAAAACTCCACTGCTCAATATTTTTATGTAAAAATGAATGAAAAATTTTCATTTTAGTTTCAATCGTAACCAATAGATGGCAAATAAATAAAAAAAAGTAGGGGCGTTGTATCCACATGCATGATGCATACATGCACAAAATGATTTGAGCTTACGGTGCGTATATGATGTGTGTGTGATGTGTGTGGTATATTCATGTGATGAGTCAAAAAATAATGGTGAGTATACGACTCAAATCTCTTTACTCATCATCATCAGGTTGAGGATGGTTATGATTTTCATCATCATCATCATTTCACCATCTTTTTAGGATCTTATTGCAGGATATATATGAGTAAAAACTTGATGACGATGAAAATTTAGTTAATTGTACTCATCATCATCATAATAATATGATTCTTTCAAATAAATAAATCTTAAAAAAAGATATCAAAAAGAAAAAATCTTTTTTATTTTCAAGGATTTTATTTTCTATCTATCAGATATACCCTAAAACTTGGTAATATGGTTGTATTTTTTTTTTTTTTTTTTTTTTTTTTGGTAAAGCCAACCGAAAAAAAAATCTAACCAATACTTTTAATTCAAGCTCTTGACCCATCATTTGGGTGGTGGAAGCGAAATACCACCACCACCACCACCTATAGGGTATTTAACTAAAACACTACCTGCCCTTTAAATTAATTCAGCAACAAACACACACACACACACATGCACACAAAAAGATATACAGCGAGTGAGCATAGATCATATCAAACCAAACAAATAAGTGGAAGGTTTTGAAAAGGAATTGATCAAAAAGTTCAAACGACATTTCCAAAATAAACAAAACACCATATATCTTTTAGGAAAACCAGAAAAACTAAAACGTCTTATATATCCAGATACATATTAAAATCACAAGACAAACCACATTATTATTACCACCAAATATCTAAAATGACGTCATTGAAAAAAATAGTCAATTTTTATTTTTAAGCTTCTCATGTTCAATGACGAGAAGGATCATCATCTTATGATTTGACACAAAAGATACTTATATTTGATGTGATATGCGACATAAAAAAAATCGACTAATTAAATCTGTTTTTGCATACGATTTCAAAGCAATGATGAGAAAAAAAAATCAGAACAGAATCAATAGAATTGTAGACTCCTCTCTTTCACGTCATAACAGGATAAAATGGAATTCTGATTGATTCTTTAGCATTTCAATAAAATTGGAATTGATCATCAAAAACATTATCGTGTATACGTTTTAAAAGAGATTCAATTTCAAGTAAATCATGAAAAATCTTTTTAATCGATTATTTTGGTTGATGGCGTTTCACAAATTCATCATCATCATTAGATGTGAGGGGGCGACATTATTATTTCAACAACAACAACAAAAAACTACGCACATTTACACACACATACAAGAGCAATCATTTGTGTATCCCAAACATACATTATTTTACAGAAGAACGTCATCATAGAAAAAAAAAATTGTGTCGTCGATACGCTTGTGTGTGTGAGTATGAGAGATGTGTTCAATATATACACCACCTATGGCTATTTCACACACACACACACACACACAAATGTTGGTGCTTGTTTAGTTGACGACGTATTGAAAATTTAAATATTACATTACACATAATAACATACGACGATCCACTATTCTTCTAAATCATTAATTAAAGAATTTAAATACGTCGTATTTAAGAATAACAAAAAAACAATCTAATCTACTCGATTAAAGAAAAAGTTGATCTTAGGACAAACAAACAAAAAAAAAATCTTACCTAAAACATTTAAATTATTCTGGAATAATATCTGATTCTTTGAAAATTCGGTGATTCAAATTCACTGGAAAGTGAATGATGATGATGATGAGGGTAGCTATTAAAATAATTCCAAAAACAAAAATCGGAAGCTACGAACAAAACAAAAACGATTGATGGAATACAAGTTGAGTATTTTTTTTTTTTTTTTTTTGGGAGAATGTGAGCTGAGAAAAAAAAATTAGGACACACAAAACAATTCACAACGTCCAATACGAAAAAAAATCACCACACACACACACACCAAAATGGATGGATGATGATTAGCAAAAGTTTTTTTTTATATTTTGAATCAATTGATTATGATTTACACTGTTTTATATGATGATTTTTATAACAGAATATGAAATGAATAAGAGAACCTTTTTCGTTTTCGTTATTATAATGACGACGATGATGATGATGATGATAACGACGTGGACAACTGAAACAATCGAATGATGATCGAATCACACACACACAAAAAACACAGACAAATGGCGACAAATAATGAGGCAAAATAAAAAATGAAAGCCACAATCCACGAAGGGAAGTACAAACGCACACACACACACACATGCACACAAAAACGTAGATGATACGCCACAATAAAAGCCAACTGTGAACTGAATTGAACATTAAGTCATGTATAGTATACGACAAACGACGTCGATATTTTTTTTTTTGTGATGTGTAATGATGATGATGACGATAGTTTTTTTTTTCGATTGCTAGTGGTCATGTCCGTCTACGTCATCATCAACTTTGCTCCTCCTGTTTCTTTATTTTCATTGACATTTTCATCAACATTTATTAATGCTACTACCAAATCAATGTAAACGGAACAACTACTACGATAATTTTTTTTTTTGGCATTTTGAATTAAATATATATAAAACTAGTAGTATATCATTTGAGTAGTAGCATTATAAATGATATATAAATCAGGTATAACTTTCAAATTTCGTTCCAATCAATGCCACTACTACTGCCAATGATGTATCGGTATTTTTTCGATTAGAATAATTTCAATCCGATTTCATCATCATTATCTCATTCTGTAAAGAATTCCATTTCGAAATAATTTGCTCACCCACACCATATATTTCAGTGATACTATTTGGAAAAAATCAAGCAAATTTATTGATTGATCAATTTAACCGATTCATATATTCGTATTTCCTTGAAATTTTTGTTTGAGCCAATTATTTTAACGAATCTGGAATATATATAGAATGAATGAATGAGAAATGAAAGAAAAAAAGAAAAATTTTTGGTAATTCATTCAACACACATGAGAAGAAAATAAAAATGTGCACACACACACATAAGAAAACGACCTCGACGATTCAGTAGTCATGTCTTTTTTTTTTTTTTTTTTTTTGGTTGTGACAACCAAAAAATATGGTGTATTGTAAATTGTAATATCACATCATATGACTTTCATCATCATCATCATCATTGCCATAATCATCCGACCAATCATTATCATCATTACTCTGGTTTATAAATGATGATGATGATGATGATGAAATCCAATCCAATCCAATCCATTCGGATTCACTGTTGCTCGATATATTTATTTTGTTTCCTACCTGTTTTTTGATCTGGGGAAAAAAAGAAATTGTTGATAATTATACTCATTATACACACACTGACCAATAAATTATAAGCACACAAAGATTTTATTTTTCGTAGGATAAAAAATCTTTCAATTTCAAACAACCGAAATCGATATATCGATAGTTTCGATGATTTTCAACAACAACAACAACGTTCGAATTATTAAGTTTCTTCATTAGTAGTATTTAAAAATGATTTACTTTTTTCAAGAGATTTTTAATAGATTTAAAAATTTTTTTGTTGTTGTTGTTTTTTTTTTTTTCATCACCATCATTATCATCAACGAAGTAACAAAAAAACGCCTTTCCTTTTTTTTTCTTTCATTCCATTCAATTCATTCAACATCGAATAGCGAGTTATATGTTATAATAATAATATGTTCAGGAAGTAAAGCAGCCCCCCACAAACACCATGTGTGTGTGTGTGTGTGTGTAAACAAGTCACCACACCACACCATCACGACGATATGAACGAGGAACGAATTTCCCAGTTTTTTTTCTCCCCAAAATCCAACAAATGTATCCAAATTAACATTTTGATGATTTTTTTAATACAAACACACAATTATTACGTACAAATAGTGTGTGTGTGTGTCTTGTGCATGTTAGACGCTCTTAGCGAAAAACGCTAAAAACTGAACAACGAAATTGTCATATACCTGTTGTATCCTGTATGTACCGATTTAAAGGTAGACATTAGACTTGACCTAAATTTATCATCATCTTCATCATCATCATCAACAGCAGCAGCAGCAACAACAAGCCCTACTGAACAAGTAATCTACTCCTTTTTTTTCAATATATGAAAGATTTGTGAAAATGGATGAATTTTTTTTTATTTTTATTTTTATTTCAAGTGAGTGAATAGTAAGTAGTAGGTGGATCATTCATATTGCTTCTCTCTTTCATGTTTTTTTTTTAAATTGATCTATCTCTCTCTCTCTCTCTCACTTTATGTATGTTTTTTTTCTTGTAAGCAAAGGATTTATATATACATACATACACACACACATTCAAAGGATTCAATTTTGGTGTTTTGGCAACAAGTGGGCAATATATTTATTTGATTCCCATCATTATTATATATTATAACACTGATGTGCAATTTTTATTTGAGCAATTTCTAATGTGAAAAAAAAATGGTAGACCAAATGTAATCACATACTGAGAGGTGAGCAAGTTTTTCTTGTTTTTTTCCAACATTTCATAGTGTTGTTCACTTGGCAAAACAAAAAAAAAGATACATCACTGAAAATGGATTTTCGTTCTGCCAACGGGTGGGTTATGTGTGTGATATATATATATAATAAACACCTAAAAAAAGTTCTAGGGTTTTTTTTTTTTTTTTTTGTTGTTGTTGTAAAAGATAAAAAATTTCTATACAGATAACAGTAGTGTGTGTGTGTTGCATGTGTTCATTCATTCGAGAAACATTCGAATAACAATTACAATTGACCGTGTAACGCCATCTTGAGGAATAGTTATAGTACAATTTTTTTACAAAAAAAAAAAAAATGATAATCATCATTTATAGCCGCCGGGTAATGGACAAAAAAAAAACAAGGATGATCCCCATCCATCAGTATGTGAACAAAAAACTTTGAGCCTTTCGTTTCAAAGATGAAAAAAATTTTGTTCTCAATTTTTATTCCTTACTTACAACTACAACTACAACAACAACAACAACAACAAATCAATATTTGGTCCTCAATGTCGAACAAGTCGTCAAAAAAAAAAAAAAAAAAAATGATAATAATCTTTTTTGATAATTAAAGCAAGAAGAAAAAAAAAAAACCAATGATAATCGCTAAATTTTACCTTCATTCATTCACTCACTCACTCATCATCATCAAAAAAAAAATGTTGTTGTCATTGGACAAATGATTGATTGATTGGAATAATCATTCAATCGAAATTAGTGAATGATTTTGGGGCCCTGTTTTTGTTGTTGTTGTTGTTGTTGTTAATGGAACAAGAACATAAAAAAATTCCAACAAACTTTTTTTGGAAATTGTCAAAAAAAAAAGAAAAATTTTCTTGGTAGCACAAATGAATTATGTAATCTTCGATGACATTGATCATATATACACACATACACATTCACTAAATTGAATTGAAACATAACGATACACAACATACGACGCAACAAGTATGGCATCAAATGTTGATGCCATGCCATCATCATCATCATCATCATCATCAGGCCAAGTGAATGAACGAATTAAACAAAAGGAAAACAAAAATCCAGTTCATCAAACTGCCATCACAACATCCAACCATTTATTTGCGTTTTTTTTTTTTTAAACCAGGATTCTAGTGTGTGTTTGTGACCTATGTGTGTGTGTGTGTGTGTGATCATACATACACCAGTGTCATTCAACTTTTTTTTTTTTTTGTTTTGTTTTGTTTTGTTTTCTATACATTTCCTCTGTTGACCATCATCATCATAATAAACATATATCATCAATGAAAATGTGGTTATTATAAATGCGGAAAAAGTTAAATGGAAAAAAAGTGGTGTGGGTGTGGACATCATAAATATGATGATGATGGTGGTGGTGGTGGTTTGATTCAAAACCAGATTTTTTTTTGTTCTTTTTTAAAAAATAAAAATATCCACCAACACAAACATGTGGAGTAGTGGTATTCTTATTTTCAAAACAGAAGAAACAGAATTTTGTTTTTTTTTCAGTAATTCATTCATCCATCTGAATTCATTCATCAAATCGATATGAGAATGGCTATGACACATGAAAGAAAATTCTCTATTCACACATTTCATCATGGTGATGTGATAAAGAATTTGAAATTTGATGATGATGAAAAAAACGAGAATTTTCGTATTAAATTCAATGACGCATTCAAGTGTGATGATGATGATGATGATGATTGTTCACCCGAAACAACAGAGAATAAAAAAAAAAAAAAAGTTCACCAACCATATACTTTCGAAAGGCCAATGAATGTGTATTTTTATATGTATAGAAGAATCGAATGATGATGCTGCGTATGATGATGATGATTTTGCCTTCACCAAATTCTGAATCAACAAGAAACAAATTTAGAATTTAGTTAGGTTCAATGATTGTCAATTGGTTAGGTTACATTACCCCAGTGATGATGATGATGATGAAATGTAAAAAAAAACCGGATAAAACTAGAAAAAAGTACGATACAATCAGATGATAAAATGTACTGAGGGGCTGTTGCTGCTGCCAATAAATTTTGATGATTGAAAATCAATTTCAATTTGAATTGTGATTGATTGATTATTTCTATTATCCTAGTTTCCGATTTTTTATTTTATTTCAATGATGATGATGATCACATGATGATGATGATGACAGTGACAGTATATATATTACAATAACCTGATAATCGATTTTGAATATCGATTATCGAAATTGTTTATTACTCAATATATGCATGCCCAAAAGAAAAAAGAAAGAAAAAGAGACAATCAATAGAAAAAAAACTCGATCATCAAAATCAATCAAAATTGTCTCATTGCCAAAAAAAAAATTAGTGATACCCAAAATTAATCCTAAAAAAACATGTGTAAAACAGACAAAACGATGGCATGAACCAAATGAAATATTGATATGAACGTAGCAATAAAAAGGTCATAGTTCATTTGAATCAAAATTTTTTTTATTCATTTTTTTTTCTCAATCATAAACAATACAACACGACAATCATTCAACATTAAACAAAAATCAATCAATACTTGTGTGTGTAATACACATAAATTATAAACAACAACAACAACAAAAACAACAACAACAACAACAATGACGACGATAACAACAACAAAAATCACTTGTATATATAGAGGTAATTGGTGTGTTTTGTTTTGTTTTGATTGAATTCAATAATTCTGTAAATTCTGAATTTTCAATAATTGAAAAATTCAACAGGTTTTCAGGTGGGCGTTTGTGTCTCTGTGTGTGTGTGTGTGTGTGTGCATATGTCAAGGAAATAAAAACCGGAAACAGGATTTGAATGATTTTATTTCATTAAAATAATATAATATATGCAATTGTGTATGTGAGTGACAATGACAAAAAAAAAATTAAAAATATACTGCTGCTGCTGCTGCTGTTGTTGTTGTTGTTGTTAATGTGTTTTCAATACAATTAAGATTAGATAATAAAACGACAGATGTCCAATTGAAAGATGAAATGGAGTGAGAGAGAGAGAGCAAGAAACAAATTTCGATTAATGAAAAAAAAAAATTTGATGATTGAATAACGATATGATTCATTTATAATGGATGGAATGATTATGAATTCCATTGATGATAATGATGTAATTTTCGTTTTCTCTCTCTCTCTATCTTCAATTCACTCACTAAATTACTCACGAAATTAATCAGATCAGTTTAAAAATTACATGTCCTTCAAACTGTATGTTTAAACATCATTAATATTCATTCATTCATTCAAAAAAAACACCATGTGGATAATTATGGATATCGATGATGTATGAAGATAAAATTTTCATCAGCAACCATAAACAAGTGATGATTATCTCATCCAATTCGATAGGATATAAACAAAAAAAAATCCGTATCAATGCTCCAAGTGGCAGGATTTTTTTTTTTAGTGTTTCCGCATTTATAATTTGACATTGAGAACAATTTGTTTGTGTATATGTGTTTCATTGATTTACAATTGAATCAATTAATTAAAAAAAAATCAGTGTGGGTGCAGGAAAGCTAGCGGATGGCTGAAGGAAAAAACAACAACAACAAAAAAAAATGATTGACAATTTTTTTTTTTAGTCTGAAAACATGTGATTGATTGATGTATAAACTACACACACACACACACACATGCACACAAACAAACGTACGTGAAAACAATAATCAGGATAAAAATCTTTTTTTGACACAAGAAAAAAAAAATTTGAAGAACAAACAAACGAAAAAAAAACGTCTTTGGTTTTCATTTCACAAATCTAAATGATGACGATGTTTTTTTTTGCGTCATAAATCGATGGTGGTGGTGGTGGTGGTGATGGGGCTGAGAGGTTGGTTGGTTGGTTGGTTGGTATGAGTGTGAGTATGTTGAATATGAATTTAAATTTAGATCATCATAACATAAAAAAAATGTGATGTGTCATTTCGTCTTCGTCTGGGATCATTTGTGATGCTTCTGAATCATGATTTTTTTTTTTTGGCAGGCATCAAAATGAACAATAATCGCGTGTGAACGCCGTTAATTATTAGGTAATTCAATTTGATGATTGTTTGTCATGAATAACGAACGACGACCGACGACGAAAACATCACACAATTTATACGTGTTTGTGTCATTGAGAATTATAATCATTGTGAATCATCATCATCATCAGAATAAAGAATTCTTGAATCTAATACCAAACAACAAAAAGAAAGGATTTCTATAGAAATTCATGAATGATGCAATTGTACATTATTATTATTATAAATCAAATTTATCACATTGTCAAATGATAATGTCCTAAGAATATTCCTATGTATTTTTGGCTTTGTTGATTTGTTTGTTTGTTTTTATTGCTTAAACAATTTGTGATGATGAAAATGTAGATGTAGCGAATGAAGTTATATAGCTGCTCATCGATGGCTTTGTTGTTGTTGTTTTGGTTTAATTTGGTTTTGATTGTAGATGAATGTGATGATTTCGAGGAATAAAAATGAAAAAATTCATCATAATCGGGTCTTCAAAAAAAAAAAAAAATTCGAATAACCAAAAAAAAAAAATGGGAAAAAGGATTAGAATTTATGATGATTCAGTGTTGTGTGTGTGTGATGTCGAAATAGAAATAATAACAAGAAAAAATCGAACAAATTAGGAATTTGAAAGTGAAAGAAAAACACATACAGATGATGATGATGATGATGAATTATCACGGAATTTTTTTTTCTTTAAATTCAACTAAATATACAGATATACAGAAATACAGAAATAGGAAAACAAAAACTCAGTGCGTACAAGATTCACACATTGATATTGAGACATATATAATAAATCAATCTTCAGCAATGGTCGACAGTATCGGTGTGGTTGGTCGTTGTAATATTGATGATTGAATATAATCAATTATTGGCTGTTGTTTTGCTGAATTCTTTACAAAGGAAGAGGGAAAAAATTAGACAATAGAAAACAATGATAATTAGAGACAAATATCAACAAACAAATGACAAAAAAAAAATTCTACAAAATTTCTATCTATTCTGGCATTCTTCTATATAGATAAATACAAACAAGGATGCCAACATACAGGACACTGTGTTCATTTTCGTTCCAGTAAAATTGAAACAGAAAGTTAGTTCTGTTGTGGTGATGAGAACGTGATTGAATGTTTGGGCGTTTTTTTTGCTTGGATTGTGGCTCATTAGATAAGAAAAATGTGAAAGACAAACACAGCAAACAAACGAAAGTAAGAAAGAAATTAAGTTCAAGAATGATGAACTAGTAGTAGTAGTAAAAAGAAGCAATAATATGTAGATTCTAGTGTGTGGTTAGATCACAACCGGATATAGGTAGAGCCATTGTTGTGGAAATGGTTTTATTGTTTGTTGTTGTTGTTGTTGTTGTTGGTGTATAATCGTACATACCACTTCTTCTTCATCATCATCATCATCATCATCATCGATAATAACATGGTCATCGATATTCGATTCGTTTGTTGAACATAAATTTGAATGATGATAATGATTCGATGATTGATTTGAATGATGATTCATTTTATGCCGTAACATTCGCATCGGTGTCGATGGATAATCTATAGAAATGATAAAATGAAATTATCAATTGATGATAAAAAAATCAACAAAAAAAAACAATTTACATTCACTTTCACTTGATTCAGTCAATGATGGTGTTCCTTCTGTATGTGTGGGTGTTGCCGTTCCAATACTATGCGGTGGTGTCCATGTAATAGTGCTTTTTATAGTGCTACTACCCAAACCGGATGATGTGAATGATGATGAACCAGAACTACTAACAGTTGATTCGTTATATTGTTCTTGATTGCTAAATAAAAAAAAAAACAAAACAAAAAAAAATCGGACAACACCGGGCACGGGTTGTTGTTGTTGTTTCAATGATGATGATAATGATTATAAATCATTATTCTTGATATAAAACATAAACACACCTACTTCTGATCATGAATCGATAGTTGTTGTTGTTGTTGTTGTTTTGGATCACACTTTGTATAATTGATTGTTGTTTATTAACAGTCTGTTTAATGACAGCTGTTTTAAGATATTTTGAATTATCAATCGTAGGAAATTGACCACCAATACCACTATTAAAAATATGACGATCACGTAATGAATTTGTGTGCTGAATATTGCTCATAACAACAGGTGGTTGCTGTTGTTGTTGTTGTTGCTGTGGTTGTCCTTGTTTATTAATAACGGTATGATTTTGTTTTGGTTGTGTCATACCTGTGAAAAAAAAACAAATTCCATTAATTCATCAATAATAAACACTCGGATATTCAAATGCAAATCAAAATAGAATTATTGTGGAAAACTAAAACGAAAAAAAAAATTCAAACCACGGAAAAATTCTCACCGGTAATCGAGTAAGATTTTTCGCGATCATTATTATCATCATCATCATTTGATATTTGATTTTGGCTAATTGTATTATGATTGGCAGTGGTGGTGGTGTTGGTGATGATTGCCCGTTTATTATGGGATGATGGTTTATTCAATGCTTTTTTTTCGTTCAAAAAAAAACGGAACAAACAGGAACAATAGACGATCGATGGATAGGAGAAATCACAAGATGCAAATGTGGAAGGAAAGAATTTTTTTTTTGTTTGGTAGAAAAAATGTGAAACAAAGAAACGAACAAGGATCAAGAATCAAAACAATAAAGACACGAAGACAAAGAATTTGAATCCAAACATCATCATCATCAGGACAAAAAAAAATTTTCATTGATTAAAGAACAAGGGAAAAAAACAAATCATCATTCATTCATTCATTCACAAAAACATTTAGTGATAGAAAGGACACATACCAAGACCTATGTAACTTGTAACCAAATTACGAAATTTTCGATGTGGTCCTTTGATTTCAGGCAAATCGACTGATTGATTGATGGATCAAGTTATTTTTTTTATAGTAGTAGTAGTAGTAGTATGGTTTTAAATGGTAGTGAGATTAATTTTTGGAAATAGAAAAGAAAATAGAAAGAAAGAAAAGGTTTTGTTGTTGTTGTTAGAAGCGGTTAAGGTTATGGAAGCATTTTTTGTGGATGTGTGAAATTTGTGGAAGAAAAACAAACAAATATACATTTTTTTTTTTTTTTGGATAAAAATTGGACCAAATTGAAACACTTACGTGATGGAATTTTTCGAAATACTTTTGTGCTCATAAAATCATGAAAACGTTGTGCATAAAAACCGGGACGATGTACAGAAATTGTATCACCATCATGTAATACAGATTTCCATGTATGTTCCAATTTTTTACGAAAACGATATGATTGTAATATATCAATGATGCCAACATATAATAATAAACGTTCGCCTCTGGAATTTCGTGCCGGTATTCCACCAGGTCTGGAAAAAATTTTTTTTTTGAAAATAAATACCACACACAATTAAATTCACATACGGAATATCTTCTTCTTGGTCGATTGGATCCACTTCAGCTTGTATTGATTCCAATGCCGTTGAGAATGCTGCAATTCTTTGTTTATTTGTTGTGGATTTTTGCCTGGTCAATTGTTTTTGATGATTATTATCACCACTAATATTTGTTGTGTCGAAATTTTTAGACAATTCTGCCAATACAGCCTGTTCAGCTTGTTGACGATGACGTTCTTCTTTTTCTTTTGCTGATTGATCTAAATTATGTACACCAACCAATAGGGAATAATCCATTATTTTAAAACTTTCCAATACACGACAATCACGTTGCATTGTTTTTATCAATGCATTATATGTTTCCATTTCCAAATAAATACCATCAGGATGATGTTCAATAAAATCTAAATCTTTATATGTTGGTGATTGTTTTTGTCGTTCATATTTATTCGCTTTACGTTTATATGTTGAACCTTTTAGATCATATTTTTGATGCATTTTAACAAAACTTGGCAATAGATTATTCATGACAACGAATCGTACATTTTTTCCACCACAAATGTAACAATATTGTCCAAAAAATTTTGGCAGTAATGTACGTGGATTTTGATTTAGATTCTTTTGACATGGAAAAAAAATAAATATTCGAAAAACAAATTATCGGATTAAAGAATACAAACAAAACAAAACAAAACAAAACAAAACAAGAAAACATACCATATAATAGCCTGGTAATAATTTAAGTAGAAATTCTGCTTCTTTATGTTGTACGGTTTTTATGATAAAATTATCATCAAATGTTAGATAGAAAACACTGCCAGAGGCGCCTGGATTCGATAATTCACGTAACGGTTCATTACATAATGATAATAGATAATCATCCGGTTGTATGCCGAATAGATCACGAAAATAACGGAAAGCAATCGGTGCATAAACTTTGAATTTAAAATCACTATAATGATGAGCCGGTGTTGTTTGTGAACCTTCCTTATTGAATTGTACTAATTCAATTTCCATGAAATCTTTCATCAATAAATCACGTTCCGGTTTCGATGCTAATGAACCGACAGCATGGCCAATACCTAATTGTATTGAGCCCATAATCTGTGTGGTTGGAAATTTTTTATATGTAACCTGTCCTTCTTCATCAACACGTCTATGGCCAATTTTACGTTCTTTTTCCAATTGTTTACGTAATTTAGATTCAGCCGATAATGGACCAGGTGTATTTGGATCATCCATACTGCCACTTGCAGCATTACCATCACCAGATTGTGGTGATTTATTATTATCCATAATCTAAAGAGAGAGAGAGAGAGAAAAACACGCAAATCAATTATAGAGTTATAATGAGGATGTTGACAAAAAAAAATTAAATTTTCAAGCAAAAACAAACACGAAAAAACTGGATAATTGAAATATGAAAATAGAAATGAATGTGTGTGTGTGTGTGTGTGTCTGGGTTTCTATCGTATATGAGAAAAGGGAATAAAGAATAAATCGAAACCAGAATATCGCCCCTGTCTGCTTTTTTTTTTGGTTTAATGACGACAATTACCGTTTAGGGGTCCACTAATTGTCTGGTTTTGTCCGTGACAAAAAATGATTTTTTTTCTTTTTTGGTTCGAAATGAACATATATCGATCCTGTTACCTGTTTCTCTATTTCCACACTCATCATTATCAATGGTATGAATGAATGAAAAAACAAAAATCCTCTTTGAATATCAAAGTTCAATGTCCAAAAATAAAACAAAACAAAACAAAAATTTTCCAAATAACAACGATGATTGTTTCTTTTCTGTTCAATCTGATCTGATTTAAAAATAAAAATTTGATTTACTTACATGTAATGGTGGTGGTTTCTTTTTATTATTATGTAATGGTGATGATGTCGATAATTTATCATGATTATTGCTACCACCACCACCACCATTTCCATCATTATCAACATTTTCTATGGTGGTGGCTTTTTTTTTGGTTGTTGGCAAAAAAAAAAATTGGAGAATAAATTAGTTTCCTTTTCTCACAGATTTGTAATAACTTACCACCATCATCATTCGATTTACGATGTGATGATAATTGTTGTTGTTGTTGTTGATCATTAATTTGATTATTCGAATCTTGAATCAATATTGTTGACATGTTTTTTTTCTGTTTTCAACCATTCGAATTAATTTGTTTCAATTATGAAGTTCGTTCGTTTTTTTAGTTTTTTTTTTGTTTTTGTTTTTTGGTTCGATTTTTTTTCTTCTTGTTTATGTTGAAAATTCATTCGATATTTCAAATCACCATCATCATCATCATCAGCTGATGAACAATATTGTTATTGCTTCAATATAAATCATCATTGTTATTATTATTATTGAAGAACAAAACAAAAAACTATGAATGATGATGATCAATTTTATGATTCGTGTGCGAAATGAGCATCAGCAGCAAGAAAAATTTTATAATTAACACTGACAGATCAATTAAAATCAGATAATGATGATGATGATCATGATCAATCAAAGTTTCATTTTCACAATATAAATATATTCGAAGAATTTACCGCTATTTATCAGAATGTTCTTGTTTGTTTGTTTGTTCGTTATATTGTGTTACAAATGAAAACACACACACAAAGAGAGAGAGACAAACCAGAAATGACAAGTGAGCGAAATCGTAAACGTTTTTTTTCCACTCTCCCACTCAAAATTGCTTGTAATAATACAGGAGAATTGTGATATAAAAAAAACTAAATAAGGGGATTTGAAAGATGTGAACAGCAACAAACAACAATAAAAAAATAATAACGAGGAGGATGACAAAACAAACAGAAAAGTGGCGAGAGAGAGAAAAAATATTTTGTTATATTGGGATAATGAATGAATGAATGAATGAATGAATGAATGAAAAAAAAACAAAACAAAACAGACTCTCTTGTCTCTCACAATAAAAAAAAAATATTGAAAGAAATTATTATTATTCTTCGATATTAGCGCCCTCGTTCGGTTCACGAATTGACTATTATTCATGGGAAGAGCCCACAAAAAAATACCCACATCTTTTACTGATGTGTGTGTGTGTGTGTGTGTGTAAGGATAGATCTGGATTCTGCCACCGCCGCTATGGATTGAATTCTTGTTTTGGAAAAAAGATTTTTTTTTTTTGTTTTGCTGCTGTTCACTCACTAAGTATCGTTGAAAAATAGCTAGCAGCAGATTCCTTTGAATTATATTCTCATTGGGTTTCAAAAGAATAAATTTTTATCTGCGTCGTCGTGGTCGTTGTTTCCAAATTGATAATGTCCATATACATGCACACACGGACAAAGATTTAATGTCGACCTTTTTTTTTCTTACTTTAATTCAATAATTTAGTCGAGCATGTGTGGCCCATGCAAATCGAGAAATTTTTTTTTTTTTTTTTGGTTTTATTCTCCCAACACACAATCTATTCATTTCCCTATGGGCTGATTTATTAATGATGATGATGCTAAAAATAGCCAACACGTCATTTGTGTATGCGCGCGCGTTCAAATCAATTCGTTCATTGTTACTGAAAATTCTTTAACCTTCAATCAATCAATCAATCAATATAAAAGAACCAAACGAAATTCTTTTCTTTTTTTTTAATTCATCGAAAAAAAACACAAAAAATTTTTTATTTAATTTAATCATCAAAATAAAATAGTGATCATCATCATCATATTTGAATTAAGAAACGAGAACGTGTTCGTGTGTGTGTGTGTGTGTGTGAATAATGAATGAAATGAAAAAAAAAAAATCGAATGAAATGAAAACGAAAAAGTTTTTCGCAATCGTCTTCTTCGTTGGTGTGTTGTTGTTGTTGTTGTATACTCTTGTGGTTACAAACGAAAAAAAAATGGTGGAATAATAAAAAAAATAATAATAAAATAGAATTAAAAATGAAGAAAAAAAAAGAGATCGGTTTTTTCGAATCATCACCACCACCACCACCACTACCATACACACACACACACACACACACAAATACAATCAATATAAATCGATGAATTTATTATAAATATTTTGATGCATCTTGTGTCGTTTTTATTCATTCTTTTTTTTTTTATTTTGATGGCGTTATATGACATATGATGTTGTTGTTGTTGTTGTTGTTGTGGACGATTTGGAAACGAGAATTCATTCATTGATGATGATGATGATCACGAGGATCAAGTTAAGACAAAATAAAATTTTCTTTTTTTGTGTGTGTGTATGAGTGTGTGTAATTGACAAAATGGACAAATTATTTTCAATTTTCAAATTCAATGTGATAAAATGATTTTTTTGTTTGTTGATTGTTCATGTGGGTGTGTGTTTTTTTTTTTTTTTTTGGAAAATTCATATATTGCAAGTGATTGATTGGATGATTCTTTCTCTTAATCATCACGATGATGATGATGATGAATTCACATACATTCTATATATATATAGTTTTAATACTAAAAAAAATACAATGATAATACTAAAATGAACACACACCCACCCACCTACACACACACCCTTCTGATCTTATCCAATAAACAAATCATCACCATCATCATCCAGAATTGTGTGTGAAGAAAAATGAAAAAAAGAAAAGATGATAGTTGAAAACACAGAGAGAGAAAAAAATTGAGAGTATACCCCCCACACATTCATCATTACATACATTTTACATATTAGAATAATTCAAAATCAAAATAAGATAATTATCAAATAGTAATCAATGAGAAATATATAGTTCCTAGTTATATTTATGTGTATGATTAGGGCGTCCTAGCGATTATTTATATATTGTGTGTGTGTGTGTGTGTGTGTATGTAGTAAAGGGAAACACAAAGAAACAAAAAAAAATTATTTACATCAAAAAAAAGAAAAGAAATTAATTAAGGATATATTTATAGAGAGAGAGAGAACTAAATAATAGAAAAAAAGAGTCGGCTAAAGATGGAAAGATTGATGAGAAAAAAAAGGTACTGGCTCAATGTTGATAATGATGATGATGATGATGATGAGAATGATGGTCAACAACAACAACAACACAACAACAAGGTCATGACCGAAGCAAACAAAATTTCATCTTTTCTTGAAGAGTATATGTTGTTGTTAAAGAATCACTGTGAAATTTTTTTTTATTTATTATTGGCGACAACTATTATGATGATGAAGATGATGATGATACTGGCCAAACAAGCAAGAGAATGACCGACGCCCGTATGTTGAATTGATTGGACTGGATTTCGTTTATAATTTTTGATTGGGTAGAGAGTCGATGCTGTTTGGTTGTTGATATAAAGATGGTAATAATAATGTCGAGCTATAATCGTCGAAAGTGGACATACAATGACAGATAGTCAGACACACACATATACACAAAATTATTCATTGGACGAGTCGATGATCGGTCGGTTATTCGTCAATGTTCATAAAATTCATGTTTGTTTGACACGTTTTCTTGGTGGACCCATTGGTGGCATCTGTTGTGTTACTAATGCTTTAAATGTTTCAGCAATTAAATGTGGCTGCCGTTGTATCATATTCTTCCAACCGGTTGTCTCCATTATGTCAGTAGCATGACTATTGTTATTAGCAAAACTTGATCATTAATCAAGAGAATATTAACATATGATTAAAAGCACATAAACAAAAATAAATATTTACAGGAAATTAATGTATCAATAAATCATTGAAACATTGGAATGTCATGAGGGTAAATGGGGATCGATTGCTATTAATGATCGAAATAGACAACAACAACAACAACAACAAAAATCAACTTACGTGTTTATAAATTCAATGGCATTAGCTTTCAATTGGCTGGCGCTATGCATATCAGCGAGTACAAGAACATCGGCTGCCGTTTCCACAGATAGATTCGAACAAAGTGATTCTTCACACATTACTTTCAATCTTTCGAGATCATACTAAAATGTTTAATGACAGAAAAAAAAATTTGATTAAATTCATGAACATTAATAGATTCTTTTATCTTTATCATACTTTATCAGCGGCAGCTAATAGATCGGCATCCAATTTATCCAATGCCGGTGCTTTGCCCGTATAAATAAATCTCAACATTTCTCTTAAAACTTCAGGCTCCATATCGGTAATATCGACCCTGTTTTGTTTCTTTTCAGCTAAATCATGTTGAAACATTGCAGCAAATACTGGTGATCTTGCCGCTAATATAGCTTTATGGGCAAAGAATTCTTTCTTATTCACACACAATATTACATCACTAAATTTTTGACTTTCAAACAATTGTGATAGATCATCCGATAGACTACATTCAGGTACTTTGAATTGTATTGAATTACTTTGTCCAGATATGTTCACAGAATCAGCTACGACGCTAACCTAATGGTAAAAATGAACCAAAAAAAAATACCAGATCAATAAAAATGACAAACAAAAAAAAAATAAATCAATGACAAATTACTTCACAATAAAGCGTTAGCTTATCATCTGGTAATAACCCGTTTGCTTCGTCTAGTAAAAAATCTCGACGAATAAATTTTTTGAAACCCCAATCTTTTCCTTGGACAAAACGATATGCGCGTTGACTTTCTGTAATATGATAAAATTTTTTTTCAAAATTAGAATTTTAACATTTTATATAAAATGAAAATGAAATACGAACCCATTGCTTTGGTTTCTTCACGTTTGGCATTAAGTATTGAAAATTTAAATTTTGCTCGTACTTCGGTTTTATTACAAGAGACTAGTAATAAATATAATGAAAGATAATCTTTACTTTCTTCATCCAATCCTTTTGGATTGACACGTAAACACCATTTCAGTTTATCATTGGTACCGGCAGAAAATGTTGATGATTTCAACACTTCACCCATCTCTTCACGACAGAAGCTAAAATTATTGATTGTCCACATGTATGAGAATTTGATCACTTTGACTTGTGTATAACACCAGCTTTCGGCCACCGGTGAATTCGTTTCAGAATTTGGTGGTGGCGACGGTGCTCTTGATGCCGTTGAGGCATTATTATTACTACTGCTACTGGAGCTCATACTATTCGAACCAATCGAACTATTTATACTACCGCATCCAGCCACCGCACCACCACCACCACCACCGCCACCACTCCCTCCACTGCCACCAACACCACTTCCCGATGAGGCTTCCGTTTTGATGTTTTTATGAAAAAACTTTTGAAAATTTCAAGTTGTTGTTATTGTTGAACAAATTTTATATCTTCAAATAATATAAAATTCATTAACCAAACCGCACACACATTTACACAACACAAATTGTTTTTCAAATGAAAAATTAAATTTTGGTTTCAATAGTAGAAAGATTAGAAGAGAGAGAGAGAGAGGTAGAGTGAATTCAGGCCAAACACCACAGAAAAAAAACAATAGAAAAACGAGATGATATTTGATAAGACGAAAAAAAAATTTGGATCAACGTGCTTGTGTGTGTGTGTGTGTTTAAAATATAAAATTAGCACAAAATTTATGTTGATGATGATGATGATGAATGAATGAATGATTAGTTTCTTCTTCTTGTTATTATTTGTGAAGAGAAAGAGAAAAATATCGATGATGGATCAATTTGTTCTAAATAAACACGAGAGAAAGAGAAAAAATAACATTACTATTTTTTTTTATTGTTAATCTTGAGAAGAAAAATATTCATTCAAAATCAGAAAAAAGAGACAATAAAAGCAGCCGTCGTTTTGAATCATTGGCTGAGTTTATTTCAATCGTTGTTGTTGTTGTCGTTGTTGTTGTTGTTGTTGCTGAAAATGATAATGATGCTGACGAGATGAGACTATGAGCAATTTAGATTCACAAATTCAATTCCATTCTTTTTCCAAGTTGAGGATTTTTGATCATATTTTTTTTCGCTCCCTCTTTTTTTTTCATCCATTCATTCATTCAATGTTTCCCCTTTTCACCACTACTACTACAGCAACTAAACAGCAATGAAAACTACTACCATATATATTTAGTCGACCTCGAGAAAAAAAAACTTTTACACCGTTAATAAATGCTACTGCCAAATTTAACATCATCATACCAGCACTGCTGCTACTACTACTGAAATTTTGTTTCATAAAAAAAATACATGCTTGAAATGGCCTTCTGTTTTTCTTCTTATTTTCTTTCATTTCATACCACACAAACCACCACCACCACCACCATTCAAACCAACAATAAATCAACACACACACACACATCAATATATCGTGTTTATTGGTCGGTTGGTATTGTTGTAATTGAGCAAGATCAAAATTTTGTTGAAAAAAAATACAGAGAGAGAAATGAAATATATAAGCGCGCGCATATAGATACACTTAAGCCAATAGTTCAAAAAAAAAAAAAAGATTTGCCCAAAAAGACCATATTCGAGGACACACACAATAATCATCATCATTGATTTTAATCATCATCATCATAGCATTTAATATGCAGGTTAACATTTTTACACACGTAGAAAAAATGCACCAACTGTCAAAGGTGAATTCGAGGACAACAACAACAACAAAAGACCACTATAAATATCATACGTTTGCTTTTTTATTATGAAAAAAAATATTCATTAACAGTGGATAGTCTTGGCTACATATTAAGAATATATGAAAAAAGAGAATTTTTTCAAAAATTTTTTTTAAAAGTCATCGACATCATCATCGTAAAAAAAAGAATTCATCAGAATTTATCATCACACACATCACCAGAATCATTTATCCCCAATATATTTCTTCAAAAACTAAAAAAAAAATCCAATAAGATTCATCGAAAAAAAGGGCATGACACTTTCGCCTGTTTCGTTTATGAATTTGTATAAATAAAGAATGCAGACGACGACAACGACAACGACGGTTCTACCCGTGATGATGGATCCGGTCAACAAAATCAACGATCAAGTTGAAAATAAAAAAAAAAAACAGAACAAAAACCAGCCATATTATCTAATATATAAAATGAACCAACCAAACAGCTCATCATCATCATCAAAAGAGAAAGACTAAAGTTGAATGTTCTCGCCATAATCATCATCACATCAAAACCCAATATATCATTTTATTATTATATATATTCAATAGTTGTGAACGATGCTGCTCTGGTTTTATATTGTTTATTATTATCATTTGTACATGAACTCAACTGAACTTTATCTTTACATTATATATTTTTATATTTTATATATAGAAGAATTTTTGAAAGAAATTTGAAAGGAAGGAACAAAAAAAAATTTTCTGGATTGTGTGAACCCAAAATCTAGTCAACAAAATGCGTACAAATGGTAGAAAAAAAATGCCCTTCGAAAATTTAGTCTGTTCTCATTCAAAAAAAAAAAAAAAAAAAAAAAAAATGAGCATAAGGCTGAGGAGGAGGATCTCAAGAGAGCGAGACTGAGGTCAAGGTACAAATCGAGCAACAAAAAAAAAAAAAATTGTCCAAAATGAAACTTTACAAAAAAAAAAACAGATAGATAGCCCCTGCCGTTAAATTTTTTACTTTTGCTGCTGCACAATTGCTTAACAATGAAACAAAAAACACACACCTAGTCGTCGTCATCGTCTTTTTAACGAAACCACACACACACATTCACATCGTTCTTTAAAAAAAAATCCAAATGTGTCGACATTGAGGTTGAGGTCAGGGCACTTTGGACTTTTTTTTTCTATCCATCTATCTGTCTATATCTATCGGGTGTCGTAAGTGGCCTATGTTGCATTTCAATGATGTCTATATGTGTAATGTAGTTCTGTTTCTCATTCTATTGGTGTGTAATGTGTGTGTGTGTCTTTCTCATGTTCTCTCATCATCATCATTATCATTATCAAACAACAAACTTTGTATATCAAAATCATCGAAAAAAAAAAAATAAAAATAAAAAGCGAACAACAAAAGAGAACATGTCCCCAATAATTCACACACACACACACACAAACACAAGCCGCATATACATACTTAAATACATATACGTAATGACTAATGAGGTCATGTCGTTTGTGTACAGCACATGGCCTATCTCCTTTTCTATATCCTAATACTATAACAACAACAAAAATCCAGAGCGGCGATCCCAATTTGTTCATTATTATTATCACACACACACACAAAAACTGCCGTTGTATTTGATGAGATCGATTCAATAATAATATTTATATGTGTGTGTTTGTTCTAAATTCGATTCAAGAATCGATACTATCGATCAATACGTGGTGAAATGAAAACAACAACAACAACAACAAATCCAGGACAGGCCACAACAAACAAACAAACAAAAAACCTTGGATTATTTTCATTTCAATCAATTATTGCAACTAACAAAAAAAAATTGAATGAAAGACATTGTTTTCATTAGACATAGACGCACACACACACACAAACAGAAAAAAATCAATGAAAAAAATGTTTGGAATTTCCTTTAGAATAAAATAAAATGATAATTAAAAAAAAAAAGGAAAAAGGGTTGCAAGTACAACACCGTTTATATACCATTTATATCACGGTAATATAGTTCCAAAAAAACAATTGACAATGTCAAATACGTGCACATAGTTTATCACACATAACACACACCTTTAAGTACGTAAATAAGAAAAAAAACAATGATAAAAAGGCGAAAAAAAAATTTTGACTACAATTGATATATCCCTTATTACTCTACCTTTCAGTATGTTGATTATCACAAAACGATCGTCTACTAAACACAATATATCAAGCACAGCTGAAAAAAAAACACCTCGACCTTGTTGCTGCACTTTTTAAATTTGATAAATGGATAGTTGAGATTTAGAGATAGAACCCAAACCAACAATCTTTTTTTTTGTTATTAGCTTCATCAGTCAGAAACATAATTCAAAAAAAAAAAAAAAAAAAAATGACGAATGACATTTATGACGACAATGCACGAATACACTAGGAACGAATATAAACGACGCATGTATGTATTAAAATACCATATAAACTGAAAAAATCAAAAAAAAAAAAAAAAAATGAAAACGTAACAGATGATGAGCTAAATGATTCGAATCGAATTAGAATCATAATAATCAACACACAAACATACACAAAATACCAAGCAGCCAAAAAAAATAAACCTTGAGATTTTTTCAACCTTCATCATCATCATCATCATCAAATCATCTAACGAATGAAAAACGACAAAACAAAAGAAATGGAACAATCAAATTCAAACAAACAAACAAACAAAAAAAAAAAATTCATCGTCATCAAAAAAAAATCGAGAACAAATAACATATATAAATCACACTACTAAAAACTAAGTACAAAAAGTATTGATCATTGATATATGGGGATTATTTTTATTGATTGATTATGATCAATAATCAAGGATGATGATGATGATGATGTCAATGATTGATAGTGGTGGCAATATGTGTGTGGATAAAACACAAAGAAATAACGACGACAACGACAATAAGGAGCTAGACTTTAATAATAGAAAAAAAACCAGAAACAAAAAAAAAATTCAAAATTCGAATGTTCAAACAAAGAACACAAAATGTTCGAATATCTGAAGGACATGTTTAAAAAATTGCAGAAAATTCATTCCAACCAAACCAACACATTATATTCACTGGTCACATTCATATCACAATCTGTGACATATATTGTCCATTTTGGTCAGTTCGTTGTTTTTGGAAAAACAAATTCTGGATGCACACACACACACACACACAGATTACGAAACAAGAGAGCAGAGTCATATTTTCCAAAATAAATTGATGACATTCATTTTGAAGCTTTTTTTGATGATGATGATAATGATGATTATGAAAGATTTCCATCATTAATAATGGGTTGATTTACACACCTGTCGATTTTAAAAGTTTGAGATGACGAAATTTAAACGACAACGACGACGACGACGACGAAGTAACAATTCTTCTTTTGGATAAAGAATTTTAATATAAAAAAAACAAAAACTTACCCAAATTTAAAGAGTTGATTATTTCGTTGACATTCGAATCGATGGAGCGAAAAAAGAGTTGTGAATTGAAAAGTTACCAGATCAAAAAAATCAACAACGTTGACATCACCACTGGCAAATTACAAATGAAACGAAATGTATCGAATATCACGATATGTGATGATCACAGAAAATGTCGACTGAGAGAGAGAGAGAGAGAGAAAAAGACAAGTAAAAAGAGAAAGCAACACAAAACAATGCCACTATCAAAATTGCTGCCACTAGTCAAACTATCGATACTGTTGTTCGTCTCTATCGAACATTGATTTTTCGAATTCTTTGAAATTAATCATCCATCGAAATCGATTAAAATTTTTAAATTTTTAAACAAACAAACATAAATCCAGATCCAAATTCAAGATTAAACCCTTTTGGCTACTTGTTGTGCGAACAATGATTATTAATGATTAATGATACCGTTTGGATTATTACCTAATTCATTTACCAACTATTTTGAATTGAATGA